TAATAATAATAATAATAATAATAATAATAATAATATTATTATTATTATTATTATTATTATTATTATTATTATTATTATTATACATTGAACAAAATCAGGAAACATTTTTATTAAATACATTAAAAAAAAAAGCAGGTATAACACAGACAAAAATAAAATAAAAAAAAAGAAGAAAAATAAATACATAAAAATGAAAAACAAAATAAATACATTAATAATAATAATAATAATAATAATAATAATAACATTGAAAAAAATCTGAAAAAAAAAAATAAATAAACAAAATAAAATAAAAAGGAAAAAAAAAATTAGTAATGCAAAATACAAGAAGTAAATTTAACTTACAAAACAGAGATAGAGTCAAAATGATAAACTGATTAAATTAACTGATTCACTTTTCAGTCCAATCTGTCCAATTCAGTAAAGTGTCCTGCCCATGGGCTCAAAGGCAGTGTGCAACCACTTACTACGCAGCACTTCTGTTCACCAATACAACGCAATATAAACTAAAATGATGGTTCTGTGTACTGAACTTATTAGGCTAAACCAACTAAAAAGCAAATGTGCATCTTTTTGTTTGTATTAATCATATTCGTAAACAGAACTAGACAGGCCCATAGCCAAAGCAGCTGTCCTTGTTTTTACCCCCCGTGAGCTGCTTTGTGCTCTCTCGTTCAGTCTCTCTTCCTCCCTTTCCCTCTGTATCTCTCTCTCTCTCTCTCTCTCTCTTTCTTTCTCCCACCGTGAGCGGCTCTGAGCGCTCTCCATGGTGCTGAAACAGAAACAAGCCACTCCATGCTGCGAGCACAGGGAGGGAGGCTTTGAGCTGGAGCTGTACGTCTGTGTGTGTGTCCCTCTCTCTTTCTCTATTTTGCCATCTCTCTCTCTTTTACTCTCTCTCACTCTCTATTTTGCTATATCGCTGTGTCTTTCTCTCTCTCTCTGTCTTTCTTTCTTTCTCTCTGTGTCTCCTTCTTTCCCTCTCTCTGTATCTGGGTGAGTGTTTTGGTCCCCCTATGAGCTTGTTCATGCACGCTCTTATTCTCTCTCTCTGTTTGCCTCTCTCTCTCTTTCTTCCCCTGTAAGAGGGTCTGTGAGCTCTCCATGGTGCTGAAACAGAAACAAGCAGCTCCAAGCTGCGAGCACAGGGAAGGGGAAGGCTTTGAGCTGTCACTCACCGTGTCTCTGTTTCTCTCCGCGCCTGTCTGTCTCTCTCTCTGTCCACTTCTCTCTATCTCTCTATCTCACTATCTCAGCTCTTTATATCTCTTTTTCCCTCTACCTCTCTCTCTGTCTGACTCTCGGTGAGCGTTTTGGCCCCCGTGAACTGGTCTGTGCTCTCTCCATGGTGCTGAAACAGGTGCTCTGTCTCTTTCTCACTCTTTGTGCGTCTGTCTCTCCCTCCCTTTGTCTGAGTCTCTCTCTATCTCTCTTTTTCTCTCCATGTCTCTCTCCTTCTCTTTCTCCCTCTCTCTTTCGCTCTATATGTCACTCTCTCTTTTTCCACCTGTGTTTTGTTTCCCCTGGGAGCTGGTCTGTGCACTCTCTCTCCCTCTCTCTCTCTCTGTCTCTATCTCTTATTCTCTCTGTCTTTAGCTCTCTCAGTCTTTCACTCTCTCTCCAGCTGTCTGTCTGTCTGTTTATCTCTCTCTGTCTGTGTCTCTTTCTCTCTCTTTGTGTGTCTGTCTCTCTCTCCCTTTGTCTTGCTCTCTCTATCTGTCTCTTTTTTGTGTCTCTGTGTCTCTCTTATTCTCTTTCTCTCTTTCTTTCTTTCTTTCTCCCTATATGTCACTCTCTTTCTCCCCCGTGCTTTGTTTTTCCTGGGAGCTGGTCTGTACGCTGTCTCTCTCTCCCTCTCTTTCTCACCTCAGTCTCTATCTCTCATTCTCTCTGTCTTTATCTCTCTCAGTCTTTCACTCTCTCTCTGTCTGTGTCTCTTTCTCTCCCTTTGCGTGTCTGTCGCTCTATCCCTTTGTCTCGTTGTCTCTCTCCCTTTGTCTCAGTCTCTCTCTCTCTGTCTCTCTTTTTGTCTCTTCATGTCTCTCTTATTCTCTTTCTCCTTTTCTCCCTATATGTCACTCTCTCTTTCTATCCATGTGTTTCGTTTCCCCTGGGAGCTGGTCTGTGTGCTCTCTCTCTCTCCCTCTCTGTCTCTATCTCTCACTCTCTCTGTCTTTATCTCTCTCAGTCTTTCACTCTCTCTCTCTCTCTTTGTGTCTGTCTCTCTCTGTCTCTCTCCCTTTGTCTTAATCTCTCTCTCTCTGTCTCCCTTTTTGTCTCTCCATGTAGAGGGAGAAAGAGAAGGAGAGAGCTCCTTCTCTTTCTCCCTCTATGTCAATCTCTCTTTCTCCTCCTGTGTTTTGTTCTCCCTGGGAGCTGGTCTGTGTGCTCTCTCTCTCTCTCTCTCTCCCTCTCTTTCTCCCTCTGTCTCTATCTCTCATTCTCTCTGTCTGTCTTTCACTCTCTCTCTGTCTGTCTATCTCTCTTTCTCTCTCTTTATGTGTCTGTCTCTCTCTCCCTTTGTCTCAAGCCCTCTGTCTCTCTTTTTGCCTCTCCATGTCTCTCTCCTTCTCTTTCTCCCCTTCTCCCTATATGTCACTCTCTCTTTCTATCCATGTGTTTTGTTTCCCCTGGAAGCTGGTCTGTGTGCTCTCTCTCTCCCTCTCTGTCTCTATCTCTCACTCTCTCTGTCTTTATCTCTCTCAGTCTTTCACTCTCTCTCTCTCTTTGTGTCTGTCTCTCTCTGTCTCCCTTTTTGTCTCTCCATGTAGAGGGAGAAAGAGAAGGAGAGAGCTCCTTCTCTTTCTCCCTCTATGTCAATCTCTCTTTCTCCTCCTGTGTTTTGTTCTCCCTGAGAGCTGGTCTGTGCTCTCTCTCTCTCTCTCTCTCTCTCTCCCTCTCTTTCTTCCCTCTGTCTCTATCTCTCATTCTCTCTGTCTTTATCTCTGTCTCTCTTTCTCTCTCTTTATGTGTCTGTCTCTCTCTCCCTTTGTCTCAAGCCCTCTGTCTCTCTTTTTGCCTCTCCATGTCTCTCTCCTTCTCTTTCTCCCCTTCTCCCTATATGTCACTCCCTCTTTCTCCCCCTGTGTGCTGGTCTGTGTGCTCTCTCTCTCTCTCTCTCTCTTTGTACCTCCCTCTCTCTCTCTCTCTCTGTCCCTTTCTCCCCCTGAGTTCTTGCCCCCCTGTGAACTAGTCTGTGCTCTCTCTCTCTGTACCTCTCTCCATCTCCCTTTCTCCCGCTGTGTTTTCCCCCCGTGAACTGATCTGTGCACTCTCTCTCTCTCTCTCTCTGTACCTTTCTCTCTGTCTCTCTTTCTCCCCCTGTGTGAGCTCTCTCTGGTCTCTCTCCGTGGTGCTGAAACAGAAACCGTCTCCTCCTCCATGCTGTGCGCTCGTGGAGGTCTGAGGCTCTGTGCTGTGGTCTCCCATAAATGAGTCGTCCAGGAGCAGTCCCCACGGCTCTTTCTTTCTCTTGTCACTGGTGTCCGTCGCTCTCAGTGAAACCAGAGCCAGTGTTTCCATTGATCTGATTGATTTTTAACAGCTATCACGTGTATTCAGCTCAACAAAATGAATGATGAATAATTCTCTTTAAAAAATAAATAAATAAATAAATAAATAATAATAATAATAATAATAATAATAATAATAATAATTCTTAAATTATAAAAAAATAAAACTAAAAAAATGCTTTTAACATAATGTCAAACTCAGAAGATCAGATAATTCTCTTTAAAAATAAATAAATAAATAATAATAATAATAATAATAATAATAATAATAATAATAATAATAATAATAATAATAATTCTTAAATTATAAAAAAAATAAAAAACTAAAAAAATGCTTTAACATAATGTCAAACTCAGAAGATCAGATAAATATATTTAAAATTTCAATTTACATTTAAAGGTCCCATATTACGCTATTTTCTGATCTGCTATGATGTTGTTTCTTCATCACAAACAAACCTGGAGTTGTGTTTAGTTTCCTTCACACATGTTTAACGCACAGATCCTCCAGTTCTTCTCTCAAACTGTCAACACTCCACCTTGCGATGTCATGTGGTAATACAGGAAGTGCTCCACTGTGTTTTTAAACTCAATAAACCTTCACTAGAATCATTTCGATAGTCTCAACCCTGGAATTGACGATCTCTACTGAACTCTACTGGACGTATCTTCACTACTGGTCAAAAGTTTTAGAACACCAAACTTTTTCCAGTTTTTTTTTTTTTTTAGTTTACTGTTGACCAAAACGTATTCTAAAATTTTGATTGATGAAAGTGTCCACCTTTGGCAGATGTAACAGCTGAACACGCTCGTGGTTCGTTCTTTTTACAATAGAAATCAGATATTCTTCAGAAAGTCCTTCCCAAGTCTGTTGCAGAAGTTTCCATAAATGTGTGGCACTTGTAGGTTGCTTCACTCTTCTGTCCAGTTCATCCCAAACCAGCTCGATGGAGTTTAAGTCTGGACACTGTGCTGGACACTCCATGTTTTCAAGTTTACCGTCTTGTTCTTTTTTCCTGAGGTAGTTTTGGCAGAGCTTGACCTTGTGTTTTGTATCTTTTATCTTTTTTTTAACCTCTGGCTTTTCAGTATTTACCTTTGTACCATTCCAAGCTCTTCATTGGACTTAAACTGCAATAAATAACTGGAAAAATTAGGGTGTTCTAAAACTTTTGACCGGTAATGTACATTAAACAAAAACAGGTATAAAGCAAAATGTCAAATGTATATATTTTTTTGCAATAGCTTCACAAAGCAGAGCCATTATTCAACCTAAAGACGTTGTCACTTATCTCACCAAAGACTCTATGGTGCCAGTTGCTAAAAATAATGATGAGTTTCAACATTTGTGGATCATAACTTTGAACATTGCTTTCCAAAAACCTTCGTCTTTCCCCTGCCCTCTGTCTGAAATTACGAAGTCAACAAATTGTAGAACGTAAACACAACCTATAGAATGCAGTGGTGTGATCGGTGCATGTGTTGTACCTGAGGCAGGGCTTGGACAACGGTATCCAGGAGGGCTCTCATTCCGGTGGCCATCTTGAGCAGCTTCAGCACTGGTTGAGTGTGTGCGTGCGTGTGGGTACAAGACGATAGAAGACACACACATTTTAGTTTAGGCAGACACACGCCCACTAATGGAAGGTTCAGTCTCCTCCATGGGCGAAAACAAACCCTTCATTTTAACGGACGAGAGCTTAGGACTGCAAAGTTAATGATAATCGAATCAAAATCGCAGTTTGAATGGACACAATTAGACAATCACAAAGGTTGTAATTTAAATAGCAGGATTTCTTCCACAGACAACATCTAATATCTATATACACATTGACAAGTTTACCTTAAAATGGTCAAGTTTACCTTAAAATGTGAACTTTGAACAGATTATTAAACCCATTATTAAACAAAATTGCATTGCTAGTCACGATTTGATTTTTTTTCTTCAGTCAATCAGCTACAAGAGCAGACTTCAACAGTTCTATAGATGCAAAGACAGAAAAGGCCCGTTGGCAGAAATGTGGGGCCATGGGACAACAAGACATAGGCCCCCCCCTCTAATATTAAAGGAACCATCTCATACAAAATCAACTTTTCAGAGCTTTCTACCTTCTAAGAGTGACGTGTGGGACTTGTATATGTTACCGAAGTGTTTTTTAGATTGATTCAACGTTTGTTTTTTTTTAACAAATTGCAGTGTATTTCTGCCACCCTCCCACGTGACAACGAACTAAAACTTGCTACAACCGACACAACGGCCAGCTACACCTATGCCGTGTTTGACGTAGCAGAAAGCGCTTCGCACCCGTTCCCCCTCCCCCGTTCCACCGCCTCCGCCCCGTCTCCACCCCGCATCAGCTGACAATTCCCACATGAACACCTAAACAATAGCGACAGCATAAGCTCGTTGTTATAACCTGCAGTGAACACGATATAATAAGTTTATCTACCAGCGTTTATTAATACTTTACCAATCAGTAATGTTCAGCTGATGTCGACGCGGTGCTTGAACTTCGTGCACCTCAAAGTCCTCGTCCGATTCCAGGTCCAACACATGCGGCTGAACGCGCTGTATCGCCATGACGAATAAAAGTTTATTCCTAACATTATCAAGGTGCACGCCTGTCTCCCCCTCCCTCCCTGAGATGGCGGAGGAAGGGCGGCTCACTCGGAGCCTACGTCACGTTTGGAGGGCGGAGCCTGTGTTTTCTCAGGACGGGCGGGGGGATGAGCAATAGTCGGCCTTTTCATAGTTCCTGGTCTCCGAGAAATCAGGAAGATTTCATAACTATTGTGTAATGGATGTTCCAAAACCCAAATTATGCTTTTATATGTGCAGAAGATATAATGTGAAAAGAGTTATTTTGCATGAGATGGGCCCTTTAATTAATAGGCAGAGTTTCCATTTCTGGGCCCCTAAGACCCTGGGGCCTGGGACAACAGACCACACATTTGTATAAACATCCAAGAATGCTGCGTCTTAGGCTGTATATAAGTATGAGAAATGTTTCTTTTGACCTCTGGTTCCAGTAACAAAATGAAGATTGTCAAGTGAACAGAGTTTTAAAAGTGAATAAGTTTTGTCACTCATCAAAGCAGCTTCATCGTCACAGTTGCTAAATGTAATTATCTTGCTTGTTTTTTCATTCAGTGACATTAAATGAATCTTAATTTTAGTTCTGACAGGATACTGTTAAGATACTGCCTTATGCTTGTCTGGAGGGAAGAGCAAACACTAAATCGTTAAAGTAAGGAGTATCTTCTATTAGTTAAGTCCATTTTAGCCTCAGGTGTGAACTGTTACCTGAGTCAAATTTCGCATGATTGCTCAAGCCCCTGGTGTACGATCTAACTCCTATTAGCATATCCTGATTAGTCCTATTGTTTCCTTGTTTTTGTCTTTCTCTTTGGAAAGAGTTCCATTCAAATCAATAACGTCCCCCTGGCGACAAGCAAGTGGCAGACCCCCATCAGGAAAGCTACAGAGTGCAAAATGAATGCTGACTCAATTTTTTTAATTTTTTTTTTTACTAAATTAGCTGATAAAGCATTACTATCGAGCTGCTCCCCTGTCTGTCCCCTCTGGCCCTGTCCTGTCAGGTGTAGTGGTGTACTCTAGTGTTCGGTGTAGTGTAGAAGTTGGTGTAGTGGTCGGTGTAGTGCAGAGTAGTGCTCGTTGTAGTGTAGTTGTTGGTGTTGTGTAGTTGTTGGTGTTGTGTAACGCTCGGTGTAGTGTAGAGGTCAGTGTAGTGTATCAGTTGGTGTAGTGTAGTTGTCGGTGTAGTGTAGTGGTTGATGTAGTGTAGTGATAGATGTATTGTAGTTCTCGGTGTAGTGTGGTGTGGTTAGTGTAGTGGTCAGGGTAGTGTATCGGTTGATGTAGAGTAGTCGTTGGTGTAGTGTAGAGGTTAGTGTAGTGCAGTGCTCGGTGTAGTGTGCCGTACCTCTGGCGATCCTCAGCACTCTCATGATGCGGATGATGGTGGGGTTGATGGGCAAAGCGGCGCTGATTTCAATCTCCTCCAGCGTGATGCCCATGACTGACAGCAGCACGATGGCCAGGTCAAGCTGGTTCCACCTGGACACAGACACAGAGAGAAGTGAGGGCGCTTTATTACCATGGTAAAGAAACGCAATAAAGACTTAATCGAGTTTAGTTAACGGTTCAGTATGTAACTTTCTGGATAATTCCACTGAAGTAGAAAGTAAAAATATTCTCCATGATAGATTTATTTAGAAGGTTTAGAAGTAGCTCTTCTCTAGGACAGGTAAGAATGGTGTGTTTTAAGTGATTTTCAGTTTTTCAGTGTAAATAAAAATTATAAAAATGGGAAAAACTTACATAATGTGGCTTTAAGGTGCATAATACAACTTTGAAGTTAATATGACTGACAGAGATTGAGGAGCAGGACCACACCTCAGCCTTCTCCTGCTCCTCTCCAGCCAATCGCAGCTCGGCTTAACCACACCTTCAGTTACCAGAATCCCTATTTATACAGGCCTATCCCGACAACGCCACCTGTCTCCGCTCTCTCAACCCCCTCCCACCCCGTGTTTTTTGTTCATCTTTCAGCCTGAAGACATCATCTACAAAGGAGGGAGGTCCTGAATCGGGCGGGCTGGCCACATGAGACAGCGCTCCCTTCGTAAGTCATCAATAAATATCTTTATTATATTTCATTGCTAGTTAAATATGATTAAAATCGACTGACTGGGTTGGTTGTATGGTACCTAGCCCTGCAGTAACATTTTCCTTCATATTGGAAAATAAAATACTACAAAACAAAAAACAAACCATGTACATTATCAGTCAAAAGTTTTAAAACACCACTCTTTTTCAAGTTTTTTACTGTTTACTGTTGACCAAAACGTATTCTAAACTTTTGATTCATGAAAGTGTCCACCTTTGGCAGATATAACAGCTGAACACACTCGTGGCTCGTTCTTTTTACAATAGAAATCAAATATTCTTCAGAAAGTTCTTCCCAAGTCTGTCGCAGAAGTTTCCATAAATATGTGGCACTTGTAGGTTGTTTGGCTTTCACTCTTCTGTCCAGTTCATCCAAAACCAGCTCGATGGAGTTTAAGTCTGGACACTGTGCTGGACACTCCATGTTTTCAAGCTTTACCATCTTGTTCTTTTTTTCCTGAGGTAGTTTTGGCAGAGCTTGGACTTGGGTTTTGTATCTTTTATTTTAATTTATTTTTTTTACCTCTGGCTGTTCAGTTCTTACCTTTGTGCCATTTCAAGCTCTTCATTGGACTTGCACAACTTGAATTGCAATAAATAACTGGAAAAATGAGGGTGTTCTTAAACTTTTGACCTGTAGTGTATCAAAGTACAAGTGGGATTTTGACACAGCTACACATTGCAACATAATTATCTATTTTCATGGAGACAAGCGGGTAATACAACACGTCACAGTAAGAATGGATGCTTTCAAGACAGTTTTGAGCAATAAAACACCTATCATGAAATAAATAGAAGATAAATAACTTTAATGCCCTATGCTGGAACGTTCCTGGCATGTTCATAAAATGTAAATGGGTAAACAAAAGCAAAGTTGTATGGTTTCAATCACTTTTTCCTCAACTCTAGTCATCCCACTAGTCTGTCTCAGTTTTCTATTAGACCATCTCTGCATTCAGTTACTGTTTTTAGCTTCATTTAAACCGCTTTACTCTCTTTACTGTAAACAAAAAAAGCATTTCATTACACGGTACACAGACTCCTAAGTAGAGTGATATTAGCCTCTTGTCCATTCATATTATAAATTTAAAGCAAAACCAGACCAAACCTGAGAAATAAATCCACCAAGACACATAAAAAAAAACATGCAAAGACTCCAGGAATCAAACTTGTGACCTTCTACCTGTGAGGAGAGAGTCCTGACTCCTTGCTTACATAATAGAATGTTTAGATGATGGATGGCATATGTTTTTCGTTTTTATTTGAGCTGTTTTTATTGACCTCTGCGTGGCCTACAGGTCGGTCCGGTCCATAAATCACAGATGCACTTCACGGCTGACACCTCCTGCGGTGCTGACACAAGAAAAACCAGAGCAGAGGGCAACTCCTACCAATAAAAATGTCTTAAGAATTATTATAAATCAATATTAATCCATTTGTCCAGCCGTTAGTACATAAAAACAGACATCTCCACAACGTACTGAAGTTCCACAGTATGGCATTAAAATGATCTTATGTGTATATTTAAAGGTTTTACACCAGGGATCACAACACAGTGCTCCAGGTCGGCCCCAAGGACTACATGAGTCCCCCGTAAGCCGGTTCTAAAAATAGCGCAACTCATTAGTGAGCTGCATCTACAATTTAATTTAATTCTGTTGCAATTCTTTTTTAATCACCCTTGCATATATATAGATTTAAAAATGACAATATCTTAAAAATATGTTCATTGTACATGAAGTTTAGATGATCTGTGCAGTGTCCACTGGTTAGAACCTCCCGAGCTTCCTCTGCTAAAGGAGCTCATGGTTGTTTGTAGTTTTTCTGGTTTATTAAATATATATATTTTTTGCACTTCAGCATTTGTAAGATTATGTCAAGAAACCAAGATATTGTATTTATAACCAGTGTTGGAGAAACGCGTTTTAAAAGTAACGAATTACTTTAATGCGTTGCTTTTTGCTGTAACATAGTAATTTAAGGCATTACAGGGGAAAAAAAGAAGTCATATTTTACTCGGTACAAATGTCAGTAACGCGCGTCACAATGCTTTTTTAACCTGGGTTGAAGTGGTGGTTTTATCTTCATACAAATTTGCTAAAATCACCGCGATATCAGCAGCCGTAAACGCCAGAGATGCGCCCGCGTAGACCGTCGGGTGACCGCGAGCAAAAGGACAGGTGCAGAACTCCGAGCTCCACGGCGCGAAGAGCAGCCGACGCCCGATCGCGCCTTGCAGACGACCTGCTCTACGGGCTCGGGTACTCTCAGGGGCGGTCCTAGATTCCAAGTTCTAGTCCAAGATTAGTCCTGTTTTAGTCCTTGTTTAGACCTGGTTTATACCTAGTTTATTCCTGGTTTAGTCCTCGGTTCAGTCCTGATTTAGAACTAGTTTAGTGCTGGTTCAGTCCTGGTTTAGACCTGCTTTAGGCCTGGTTCAATTCTGGTTTAGCACTGGTTTAGTCCTGATTTAGTCCTGGTTTAGTCCTGGTTTAGTCTGGGTTCAGCTCTGGTTCAGTCCTTGGTTCAGTCCTGGTTTAGTCCTGGTGTTTATAACCGAGATACTGATGTGCATGTAAACACGCTCAGAAGCAATGATGACACTTACTAACACTGTACTTAAAAATACTTACTTAAACAATTACTGAGATTAATAAAGTTAAAGTGTTGAATATTGATATCCATCTCCCACTTTGCTGTGAATGATGATAATTATTGTGAGAAACCATTAAAGTCATCAGTGTCTTCACATAGATTATTATCAATTATAATTAAAAATGTATAACTAAAGGCAAACTGAGCAAATGTGTTATTTCAGAAGAGCGTCTCAAACTAGGAGCCCCTCGTATGACTCAGTACCCATGAAGTAGCTCTCAGTTTCAAAAAGGTTGGTGACCCCTGTTCTACACTAAATTGACTCTTCTGAGCTTTAAGTCATATTATAATGCTGTTATCTCATCAAAAACAGACCTGGAGTTGTGTTTTGTTTCATTCACACGTTTGAGTAATCCTGCATTATTAGTCTGTCTATATCTTCAAGTTAAAAACTTTTACCTTTTGTTCAGTAGAGATCGGCAATTCCAGGTCTGAAAACATCCAAATGATTCTAGTGAAGGTGTATGGAGTTTAAAAACACAGTGAAGCACTTCCTCGGGGTATCCCTGGGTTTGACTACCCAAATTTAAGACTTTTGTAAGACCTTTTTTAAGACTACTTTCATGAAAATTAAGACCAACGTCGCACCCATTATGTGGGAGAAAAACACCAGATCTAATTCTAATAATGACCAATCAACTACCGGTACTACTACTACTAAGTAGAATCGAAGGCTACGTTTATATGATGATGGTCCTAACAGAAGACACAAAAGTGGCGTAGCGTCTTCACTTTTTATTCTGCGTTTAGACGAGTGTTTTTGGTAGTAAATCTGCGTGCATATGGTGACGCAAAAGTGTGTGGAATTGAATTGTGTATGAATGCCAGGTGGCTCAGTGGTGATGTATGTGACGTAAACGCGTACACGACGTGAGCAGATCTGACCAGAGTTTTGCGCCTTGGGCAGTGTAGACGGAACTGATTGTTTACTCTTGCCGCCGGCGCCAAAAACGTATTGTTTGTGCAAACTCCAAATTAGAAGTTCATTCACGTTACGTTATTTTACGTTGATGTTGTTTTTCCCTCCCTCCATTTAACACTGCACTGCAGCCCGGTTGAGCTGGATAATGAAAAAGCATAATGGAATTTAAGACCTTTGTGAAAAAAATTTGACTTTGACAACATAATTTAAGGCTTTTTAAGGCTTTAATTTAGGAAATAAAATTTAAGGCCTTTTTAAGACTTTTAAGACCTTGCGGCTACCCTGTTCCTGTATAGTTTTCCGTTTGAGAGAAGAACTCATCCTAAATATGCAGATTTTTTATGTTAAACATGTGTGAATTAAACAAAACACAACTCCAGGTCTGTTTGTGATGAAAAAATAACATTACAACACAGAAAATACCATAATACAGGCCCTTTAATTATATTTATAAGTGTTTTTCTTGCTCAAAAGAGAAAAGAAAAATATGCGTTTTTGCATTTTTGTGAACGGGGTCGTCTTTCTACAGATATGATCTGTAACGTGGCCTGGTGGTATCACCTGCTGGTCTCCATGGAGATATGTTTAATGCCATACTGCGGAATATTATATTACAAAACACAGACAAAAGCAAAAACTTGGTGTATACAATAACGTTTCTCAAACAAGGAAACATAATACCGCTTCAAAAAGTCTGCAGCGGTCCAAAGTTATTCCAAAGTTTTGAAATCACAGTAATGTTAACAACTAGCATGCTAACTGTACACTTCCTGTTTCTCAGTTGATTAAAACATTTTACAATTTGATACAGAACAGTCTCATTTTGACCTAAACAGCTGCTTATATGCTTCTATTTAAACAGATTTAGAGACAGATTCTGGTCAACTCCATGGACAAAAAAACCTGAAGATTCCGCATTGCAGCTTTAATAAAGGATGAGATGCAGTCAAAGTGCGGTTGAGCAGGGAGAGAACATGCCTGAAGGATGGGACACATTTCCTGATCCTTCACCATCAAAGCTGCTTCTGCTGCTCATGATCAAAAGAGGGATTTGTAGCGCGAGCACACGGGGAACAAAATGACGGCTTGTTATTTTAAATAGATTATGTGTGTGAGGGCCTGAAATGTGAGAGGAAATGTTTGTCAAAGACTGTTTCCTCTTTCTATCATCACACGTTTTTTTTTTTTTTTTTTGAGCAACAGAGAACAAAAAAAAAAGAGGAAAAAAAAAGTCTTAAAGGTGCGCTGTGTAACTTTTCTGATGCCGTGTGTTTATCTCTGTGATGTGATGTTGTTGCTTTGCCCTGGAATGTTCCACAGTATGACAAATCATCTATCGCCATGGAAACGACCAGGTGACAACGTATTAAAATGATAAATTAGTTACTCTAGTATTCGAGTATGATTAGTCTAGTTTTCGTTTTTTGGCGCTCCCCCTTCAGAGCGCTGCTGTCAACAACACCATCAGCAACATCAACAACAACAACAACCAACAACACAATCAGCGTGCATCTCCGTAATGAAACTACAGCACATCGCATCAGGTTTGTGAAGTCATAGGTGACGTTTGCACTGAAATGAATCACCGTATCACCTAGGGGTGGGCGATATCTCGACATTTTAAATATATCGAGATATTTTTGAAACTCGATATGGATTCTGACATATCGTATACATCGATATAATGCTTACATTCAATTCTGATTTCGCCCCTTTCGCTTGTTTGCCTTCTCTGTGCGCGCCCCCGCGGGCTCCCACCTTCCTGAATTTGCTGCTCGTGTCTCATTCTTCTCACTGTTGCTGTGAATGCCGAAAGTTGGTGCCAGTGAAAAACTTCTAGCACCACAAACCTTTTCCACCATTTACAAACAAAACCATCAGCAGCACATCCTCACAGAAAGAACACTCATATTCCACTGAGTAGTGTCCTTTAGTCCGACAGAAGCTGAACCACATCAGCGGCATGTGGAGTGCGCTGTTTATGCAAATTAGCCATGCAGTATTAAGTTTTGTTTATGTAAAAAGTAAACACACTTGCGCAAAACTGCATTAAACACATTATAATCTCAAACAGGCTGATGTGGCTCTAGAGTGGTTATGCTTTAAATGTTGTAAAGCAGGCATGTCCAAACTATGGCCCGGGGGCCAAATGCGGCCCACAGACAAATTTTTCTTGGCCCTCAGACTTCCAGGTGAATTGGCCCAAATTTCCTTGCATCAATTAAAACATTTTTTTACTGCAAGTTTTTTGAAAATCTACCTTGATAAAGCTCATATTTAATATTTAGTGTGTGGTTTTAAGGATCTTAGCATGAATAAAAACTGATGGATCATTCTAACGTATTAAACATGCACACATTTCAGTTATTCCCTGTACTGAGCCCCAGTCTACGGCCATCGATCAGCCCTCTGCTTTGTCTGTGTTTAGATATGTGGCCCTTGATGAAAAAAGTTTGGACACTCCTGTTGTAAAGTTTAGTAATATAAAGTTTATTTATGCAGAAGATTTTAATTAATAATCTGCTGCAGTGTAACTTGTACAATAGTGTTTGGGAACGTTCGGTTTGATCTGCAGTGGATTGTGGGAAACCTCAGAGCTCTTTACGCTTGGTGAGGAACATGGATCTATTAAAATAAGAAACCTCCGGAGCTTCTTCTGCTAAATGAGCTCATGGTTATTGTACGGTTAACAGAGTTAATGCAAAGATGAGCTTGAGTTGAGTTGTTTTATTTATGAATGAAAAGAAGGCAACATGTATTTTTTTAAATTTATTTTACAGTTAAATTATTATTTATGTAATATGGGAATTTTTTGTAATGTTAAATGTGGCAGAAGCACTTAGGCTACGTTCAGACTACTACACTCAATTCCAAATTTTTTTGTGAAATCCGATGTTTTTGCGAGGTCGTTCACATTTCCAATTAAATGCGACTTGTATGTGACTCCAGTGTGAACAGTAAACGCCCCAAAAGTGTCCCGCATGTGCACTGGAGACACGACGACGTCAACCGCAGCGAGCGTGCTCTGTGTTTACGGAAGTTGTCCAAACATGGACGCGAGCATTGAGCACCTGGAGATTTTAAAGTTCCTCTCGTACCGGAGCCAGAACATGAACAACTTACTTGTTTTAAGGAGGAGATTGAGAAGGAGAAGGACGAGGTTTTTGGCCGTGGTGTTTTGTGGGACAGCGGCAGCGACGTCCGTTGAAAGGAACGTGTGGATGTGGAGACGGAGCCAAGAGTGGTGAGTGGTGATGTGCTTCGCTTCAGTGACACGGAGTTCATTAACAATTTTCGCCTACTTCAGCGCAGAATAGTGACGTTTATGGCTTGTTGTTGATAAGTCGAATGAATGCGCTTTGGCCGTTCACACTGAAGTCACATGTCAAAAGATCAGATATGTATCGGTTTCAGGAGCACATATCGAAGTGGCCTGGGTCGCATTTGAAAAAATCAGATCTGTGTTGTTCAGACTGTCATTAAAAGATCAGATACAGGTCACATAGAAGCCAAAAAATCGGATTTGGGTCACTTCAGGCTGCAGTCTGAACGCAGCCTTAGTTCCTACATGAACTGCCTACCTCTTGCACTTCAATAATAAAAAAAAAAAAAAAGACATGGTTGAATTTGGCATATTTGTATTTATATTTGAAAAATGTCCATAGTTTGGACATGCCTGATTTAAGACTTTTTAAGGCCTTAATTTAGGAACATGAAATTTAAGACCTTTTTAAAACTTTTAAGACCCCGTGGCTGCCCTGTTACAGAAAGAGAAACCATGATATTATAATGTAAGTCAACGGGAAGACACATTTTGCTCGAGTACGTGGGAAAAAACTGGTATAGCGCCTTTAATAGATGTGTCACTGCATTAAAAGTGCACGTACAAGAGTCTGAGGAACACAAAATGATTATTATTAACACAGAGTACAGTGTGTAGAGACGTAGAGACGCACAGACACAAACAGTACAGAAAAACAGAGAGAGAGAGAGAGAGACGTGTACCTGTCCTTGAAGAAGCGCCGGAAGCCGAACGCGATGAGCTTGAGCACCGCCTCCAGCACAAACATGGAAGTGAAGAAGTAGTTACAGTACTTCAGGGCCAGATCCAGAGACTGTGGGGGAAGAGAGAGAAGAAAGAGGTGAGGAGATGAGAGAAAAAGAACGAGAGGAAGAGAAGACAGAAAGATAGAAGGAGAGGGTGGGAGAGATTGGAAAGTTAGGGGAGAGAGAGAACGAAGAGATTGGAGTGGAGAAGAAGAGTGTGTATGAGAGGAGGGAGGGATGATCGAGAGTTTAGGGGGCGATAGGGAAAAAGAGAAGTGAGAACGGAGGGAGGGAAGGAGGAAAGAGTGAGAAGATAGAGACAGACAGGGAACGAAATGGGGTTGGAAGGGTGAGAGAGAGTAAAAATGGGAGATTTAGAGGCGAGAGAAAGAGTTAAGGAGGAGGGAAGAGAGTGTGAGCGATGAAAAAGCGATGGAGTAAGAGGAGAAGAAAAGTAAGGGACAGAGGAAAAAAGAAAGAAAGAAGGCAAGAAAGGGAATTGAGAGAAAGAATGAGAAATAGATAGGAGAGAAAAGAGGGAGTGAGTACAGATATGGGTTTAGGGAAGAGAGAGGAAAACAAACAAAAAAACTTGGAAGGTTAAAGAGGGAGGTAAGAGAGAGGGATGAGAGGAGGAGAAAGAGAAGATTGAGGGGATCAGCAGAGAGGAGGAGAAACGGTTGGTTGAAAGAAAAAGTGAGGGAGGAGAGACTGAGGAAGCAAGCGTAAGAAGGACACAAACAGAGCGTAAAAAATAGAGTATCGGAGGAGAGAAAGTAGAAAAAAGAAGAGAGCGGGAGAGTGAGGAGAGAGATGGGGAGGAGTGAAGAGAGTGGTGGGGAGAGAGAGAGAGAGAAAGAGGGAGAGAAAGGGATTGAGACAGATAAGAGAGAGAGCGATTCAGCAAGAGCAAGAAGGACACAAACAGAGCATAAAAAATGTAGTATTGGAGGAAAGAAAGTAGAAAAGAAAGTAGGAAAAGAGTGAAGAGAATGGTGGGGAAGAGAGAGAGAGAGAGAGAAAGGGAGCAAGACAGAAAAAGAAGAGAGAAGGAGAAAAAGGGAGTGAGGCAGAGAGAGAGAAGAGAGGATGGGAGAGCATCGAGGAGAAAGAGAGTAAGGGAGAGAGGGAAGAGAAAGAGAATGAAGCAGATCATAGAGAAAGAGGAAGAAAGAGCAAGAAGGACACGAGAGAGAGAGAAGAAGGGGAGAAAGGGAGCAAGACAGAAAGAGAAGAGAGAAGGAGAAAAAGGGAGTGAGGCAGAGAAGAAAGAGAGAGAGAAAAGAGGGTGGGAGAAGACAGAAAAAAAAGAGAGGGAAAGACAGAGAGAGAGAGAGGGGAAGCAACAGCAAGAAGAACACAAACAGAGCGTATAAATTATTGAATGAGAGAAAGTAGAAAAAAGAAGAGAGTGGAAGAGCGAGAGAGAGGGAAGAGTGAAGAGAGTGGTGGGGAGTGGATGAGGGAGAGAAGAAGAGAGAGAGAGAGAGGAGAAAGGAAGCAAAACAAAGAGAAGAGAGGGAGAGAAAGTGAGTAAGGCAGAGAGAAAGAAGAGAGGGTGGGAGAAGAGAGAGGAGAAAGAGAGTAAGGGAGAGAGGGAAGAGAAAGAAAATGGGACAGATAAAAGAGAGAGGGGGGGGCAGCAAGAAAGTAGAAAACATTAGAGAGGAAGAGAGCGGGAGAGCGAGGAGAAGAGAGATAGGGAAGAAAGAAGAGAGAGGTGGGGGGAGTGGATGAGAGAGAGAGAGAGAGGAGAAAGGGAGCAAGACAGAAAGAGAAGAGAGAAGGAGAAAAAGGGAAAAAGGGACTGAGGCAGAGAGAGAAGAGAGGGTGGGGGAAGATAGAGGAGAAAGAGAGTGAGGGAGCGAGTCAGATAAAAGAGAGAGAGAGAGAGAGAGAGAGAGAGAGAGAGAGAGAGAGAGAGGCGGGCAGCAAGGGTAAGAAGGACACAAACAAAGACTAAAAAAATGGAGTATTGGAGGAGAGAAAGTAGAAAAAAGAAGTGAGTGGGAGAGCGAGGAGGGGAGAGATAGGGAAGAAAGAAGAGAGTGGTGTGGATGGATGAGGGAGAGAGAAAAAGAGAGAGGAGAAAGGGAGCGAGGCAGAAAGAGAAGCGAGAGGGAGAGAAAGGGAGTGAGGCAGAGAGAGAAGAGAAGGTGAGAGAAGAAAAAGGGTAAGGGAGAGAGGGAAGAGAAAGAGAGTGAGACAGATGAGAGAGAGAGAGAGAGAGAGAGAGAGAGGGGAGAGAAAGGGAGTGAGGCAGACAGAGAAAAGAGAGGGTGGAAGAAGATAGAGAAAAAAAGAGAATCAGCAGAGAATGAGAATAAGAGAGGGAAGAGAAAGGAAGTGAGATAGATAAAAGACAGAGAGAGAGAGAAAGAGGGAGAGATGCAGCAAGAAGGACACAAACAGAGCGTAAAAAGTATTGGAGGACAGAAAGTAGAAAAAAGAAGAGAGTGGGAGAGCGAGGAGGGGAGAGATAGGGAAGAAAGAAGAGAGTGGGAAGTAGATGAGTGACAGAGAGAGAGAGAGAGGAGAAAGGGAGCAAGACAGAAAGAGAAGCGAGAAGGAGAAAAAGGGAGTGAGGCAGAGAGAGAGGAGAGAAGGTTGGACAAGATTGAGAAAGAGAGTAAGGGACAGAGGGACAGATAAAATAGAGAGGAAGATAGTGAGAGAGAGAAGTGAAAAAGGAGGAGAAGTGAAAGACACAGAGAAGAGGAAGACGGGCCGATAAAGAGACACGGATGTATTTGCATGTGGAAGCGCGGGAGCAGATGTGTTCTCATTGTTTTCACAGAAACACCAAACTGAGCCAAAGGCAAAATGAGAGAGATTACAGTAAGAACTCCCATAATGCACTTCTAATCTCTGCTCATTCCTCGAGCTGCTCCTGCCTAGTGCGTCTTGTTTACGACGGCTACACTGCAAAACAACAAATACACGAGTTTCAGTGACTCACAACTCACAATATGTCCTCTAATCTCGACAGGGTGAGAATCATGTCAAGATAACGTGACTTTTTACGGTGTTTGATTCGTGTTGTGTAGTGTTTTTTTTTCTTCAAATTCTGTTATTTTTACTGTTTTAAAGGCTTTACATTGCGCAAAATTGACTCTTCTGAGCTTTGAGCCATGTTAAAATGTTGTTATCTCATCAATAACAGACCTGGAGTTGCGTTTTCTTTCATTCACACATGTTTGCGTTAGGGTTGTCGCAATAACCGCAAAAATGAATCACCGCGGTACTAAGGGGTTCACCGTGATGCATGTTGGGCCACCGCGATCACCGCACGTGACCAACGAGACCCGACCAGAGTCCTGCACAGGTCCATTTTTAGAGACCCACACTCGCCCGGACCCGTAAACTTTCCACCTGTTACCGCCCGTGATAACCACGACTAACCCAGGACTAACCCAGGACTAAGGTGCGCCCATGAAGACTGTCGGGTGACCGCAGGCGAAAGGTCAGCCACAGGTCTTACCCTGCACGGAGGTAAGTGCAGCTGTCAACCGATCGTGCTATGCGGACACCTGCTCCACAGGCTCGGGGTTCTCTCTCTCTTAAGTCTGCGGGTACCCGACCTGGTGCAGGACTCTGACCCGACCTGGTGCAGGACTCGGACCCGACCTGGTGCAGGACTCGGACCCGACCTGGTGCAGGACTCTGACCCCACCTGCCACAGTGAGAGCTGGAGAGATGCAGCGGCACTTGTTCCAAAGTCAAATGCTCCCACACTACACATGCTACATCCACACGACAACCAGGTACATGTGCATCTGCGCAACAAGAGCATCATCAGAAAGAGTTTTCAGAGCCGCTGGAAATATTATAACTCCGGATGATGTGGGGTAGGGGAGGGGGTGCGGTATCATCACATACAGCGCTGTTGAGCTGCTATACCTGTCAGAATAATTTTATTATCCCATATTTGCTAAATACTTGTGTGATATTCTATGCCTATGAGTTAACCATTTATGTACTACAATTCTTTGATTTATAATGTACCAATCACTTGTCACTTGTTGAATAACCTCTCTGTGTTTGACAACTGTGTGCAGTGTCCTGTCGCTCTAGTGAACCTCGAGATGATTCCTCACATGAAGCCAACTCCCACTGTCACACATGCAAGAGTTATGATGGTGTCTGTCCATACCTAAGGCACCTCCTGATTGTTAATCATGTTTTATGTGTTTGTACTATGCATAGCTGCACCAGTTTCTTATTATGTCTTGGCTGTTTCCCCTTCCCCTTGAGAATTATCATTCTGTAACTAGGGCCTCCTAATGAAATAAAAAGAGGAGAACGGCCTTGAGGCATCAGAACGTGTGGAGACTGTTGGTTTTGATGCCCACTCTCTGCCCGTTCTCCTCGCGAGTAAAACTGAATTAATCTCTTGTCTTTCTTCTTGTTTACAATGTTTAGATAAACCTAACAATACCACACCGCAGGAGAATTCCCTAACCGCGACAGCCCTAGTTTGAGTAACTCTTTATTATTAGTCTGTCTACATCTCCAAAGCTCAAGATCAGGGATCATCAAACTAAGGCCCACGAGCCGACTCCGGCCCTCTGACAGCCCTCCTGCCCCTCTGCCCCCACCACTTGAACTGGCCCTATGAGGCAATCCTCAAAAGTTGTCATTGCCTTACTTTTTGGCAAATAATAACATGTCCGCATCTTGTATTTTGTTGATTTTTTTCAATTAAAAAAATATATTTATATGAAGTATTTATATTTATATTTAAATTATTATGACATATTTACATTTGTTGTTGAATTTTCGTCACCTGAGAATCTTGAGATTAAACCGTGACAATCAACACACACGCACTGTTCTGTAGTGCAGTTAAGGACAACAAAATGGTGAGTGTTAAAGTACAAAAAGTTAACAGAGAGTGCAGAGTTTTCAAAGAACAGTGGACGACCGATTATTTTTTGTTCAGTGTGAGGACCGCGCAGTTTGTCTGATATGTAAAGAAAGTGTGGCGGTTTTCAAAGAATATAATCTGCGTTGTCAGGGTCAGAGTTTAGAAATTCCAGGGCAGAAATGAGCCAAATGATTCTAGCGAAGGTGTATGGAGTTTAAAAACACAGTGGAGCACTTCCTGTATCACCACATGACATCACAAAGTAAAATAAAGAGGGTTTTTTGTTTGAAAGAAGAACTTGTGTGTTAAACAATGAGACAAAACCCAACTCCAGGTCTGTTTTTGAGGAGGTAACAGCTTTCTAACAATTTCTAACAATTCTAAAGCTCACAAGAGACAATTTTGCGAAAATATAGGATGTTTAATAAATTTGATCTTATAAAAATGTAATTAGTAGAATCACAAATCTTCCGTTTTGGCAGTCCATTGTTTACAGGTGCCTTCTGTTCACTGCTTATCTGAAAATACCAGAGGCTTTAATGAGCGGGAGAGAGCGAAATGTCGAAGGAACAAACGGGCTGAGTACTGGATCACGTTTAAAGGGCAAGTGCGCCTTTTAGGTCGCTACAATAGTTTTTGGCTCCGTCGCGCAAACACTAGAATTAATTTGCACCTACGTTTAGCGAGCGTGAATGAACCGCGCAATCAAGGCTCTTTTGTCAATCCGGATACACCGAGAAAATAAGTAAATATTACAGGTTATGGTGAGACACTGAGGGTGAAGAGGAAGAATTCTTACACTTCGATTGATCGGTTTGAGGCTTCTGTGCTTCGTGTTTTCATAAATAAGGCAAAAATAAACACTGTTGGGCAAGTTACTTTAAAAATGTAATGCGTTATTTATGACTTCTTACTGTTATTTCAAAGTAATTTGTTACTTTACAATATTACTGTGTTTAAAATGTAAAACATTGCAGCACTTTTAAGTTACTCTCACCAAAATAGATGGTGAACTTTTGTGCCGTATATGGACTGAACCAGGACTAAACCTGGTCTAAACCAGGTCTAAACCAGCACTAAACCAGGACTGAACCAGAACTGAACCAGGTCTAAGCCAGGACTAAACCAGGACTAAACCATCACTAAACCTGTTCTAAACCAGGACTGAACCAGGACTAAACCAGGTCTAAACCAGGACTGAACCAGGACTGAACCAGGACTAAACCAGGACTAAACCAGACCTGAACCAGGACTGAACCAGAACTGAACCAGGTCTAAGCCAGGACTAAACCAGGACTAAACCATCACTAAACCTGTTCTAAACCAGGACTGAACCAGGACTGAACCAGGACTAAACCAGAACTAAACCAAAACTGAACCAGCACTAAACCAGGTCTAAACCAGGACTAAACCAAGGACTAAACCAGGACTAAACTAGAACTAAACCAGAGCCAAACCAGAACTGAACCAGGTCTAAACCACGACTTAACCAAGGACTAAACCAGGACTAAACTAGAACTAAACCAGACCTGAACCAGGACTGAACCAGCTCTAAACCAGAACTGAACCAGGACTAAACCAGGTCTAAACCAGAACTGACCCAGATCTAAACCAGGTCTAAACAAGGACTAAACCAGGAATAATCTTGGACTAGAAATTGGAACCTAAGAGAGAGAACCCCGAGCCCGTGGAACAGGGTGTCTGCAAGGCGAGATCGGGTGTCAGCTGCGTTTAGCCCTGTGGAGTGCGGAGTTCTGCACCAGTCCTTTTGCTCGCGGTCACCCAACGGTCTACACGGGCTCCGGCGTTTCACTGCTGCTGATATTGCGGTGATTTTAGCGAATTTGTATAAAGAAAAAACGACCACTTCAGTCCAGGTTAAAAAAGCATTGTGACGCGCGTTACTGACATTCGTACCGAGTCTATTACAATTTTTATTTCCCTGTAAAGCCGAACATTACGGTGTTACAGCAAAAAGCAATTCATTACAGCAATTAATTACTTTTATAACACGTTACTCCCAACACTGTAAATAAGACATTAAAACAAATTTCAGGACAAGATATCAACTTTTTTTTTTTGGCTGTAGATGCTATTTTGAAAGTCCTATGTTACACAAAATTTACTCTTGCAACCTTGGAGCCAAGTTAGAATGCTCATTAACATTAGTGGTAGTTTTCAAACAAAAAGCAACATTTTACTTTTAATTCAGTAGAGACTGGCAATTCCAGAGCTGAAATGATCCAAATCATTCTAGTAAATGGTATGGAGTTTAAAAACACAGTGGAGCTCAACCTAAATATGCAGGATTTCTGTTTAAAATGAATGTGCGAATGAAATTAAACACAACTCCAGGTCTGTTTGTGATGAGGAAACAACATTATAACACCGATCATAAAATTGTGTAACATAGTCCTTTAAGGGTTGTATAGAGGATTTTCCAAGGAACGAGAAATCCAGCGACTGTTTGTCCTTTTTCAAATGTTGCGCATGCGTGAAACCCCCCCCCCTCCCCTACAGCTCCTACGTAGAAACGCCTCCTTCCGCCTCATCCTTACGCCAGAAACCGGTGTTTACAGCGCTGCACATGACTTGTAAACAACTAACTACAGTGTTGGTTAGGCAAGACGGAGAAGTGAGGAGCGGGGGGAGGGGGGCACGGACATTTCGTTCGCGGACGAGAGAAGTGAGGAGCAGGGAGAGAGAGAGAGGAGAGGAGAGGAGAGGAGAGAGGAGAGCGGTGCGTGTGGAGATTCCGTGAGGAGCAGGGAGAAGAGCGGAACGGGCAGAGAGGAGGGCGCGGAGATTCCGTGCGAATGAACTAGCTACTACTACAACACGCAGCAGCAAGCGGACTCTTTCTTTGCCTTGAAAATTAAGTTTTCAGACATAGGATATCGCATTCGTGTCCTGAAAAACGTTTGTCTAGCTCTTGGAAATAAAGTACGTTTTCATAATAAGCAGAAGTTTCCTGTCCAGGAGTAATTTGGCGACCAGTGCGTCAGTCTTTAGACCCTGCGTCTGCTTCAGTTCGCGCCATCGCTGGAATGAATCTTCAAGAATCACCTTAGTTTGGTTTCGCAGCTTTTCAGCGACCTCAAAAACGGACTTTCTTTTGGGGCTAACTGCTCGTAGATTCTTGTCGCCATTGCAATAAACTTTGTGCGAACTGCGAGGAAGATATAGGTCAAAAAAGCCGCTAAGAACTGTTGCGTTGGTGGAGTAAACAGCGTCTGTGCGTCTGTGGACTGCGTGACAGCGTACGTAAACCACGTAATGGCAGGCGCGCAGGCAAGTCAGTTACGCTAGAAACGTAGGGAGTTTGATTGACAGCCTGTCAGCTCACAGATAACGAGGCAGTGTCGTTATCTATTGGCAAATGTTTAGCCCCACCACGTCCAGAGTTGATGAATTTTTATTCTCTTTTTTTTTGGTCATCATAATTACAAGGCTACTGCACCTCTATAATGCTATCATTGACAATTTGAAACAAAACAAAAAACAAAAAAAATCCTCCATACAACCTTTAAGGGTTGATCTTAAACTCCCTGTGTGAGAAAAATGCATTTTCAGAGAGCAGCCTTTGAAGATTAAAAAATAAATAAAGAAATACATGTGATTAAAAATAAAAGAGTGCCTGGAGTATCTCGCCTTAAAGTTACTTGATTTATCCTCAAGTCTTTCAAGGCTTTATGGACATAAACACTGCACACGGTTTCTATCTATGATGCAACAATCCTGGTATATTTCAAACCAAGTATTTTTTGTTTTGTTTTTTTTTACACTGGAGTTAGTTTGTGGCTTAGGTTGTGTGTTAGGTTGTGTGTTAGTTTGCGTGTGGGTGCGGTTGCTCACGTGGGGCTGGTTGTAGTGCTCCAGGGACATGGTGATGACGTTGATGCAGATGATGAAGGTGATGATGAGGTCCAGGTAGTGGTTGGTGCACAGCGTGTGGATCATGAGGCGCACGCGGCCGTAGCTCGAGTAGTACGGCAACCGCTGGGCTTCTGCAGAGACAATTTGAAAAAAACAGATTCAAAATGACAAAAAGCCATTTCAAAAGTCATCCGAGAATCCGTGTATCATTCGTTCATTCGTTTTTCAATATAAAAACAAAAATAAGAAAATGAAAAAGTTACATTTTTCTTCATTATTTGTCTCCAAAACCAAAATACAAAAAACTGATAATGATTTGTTTTTTTCAGTTTGGAAAAAACGGATCACGACCATTTCCCGTTTACGTGACTTTCGTGACTGCGGTGCCGAACTGAACCAGACCGGAACAAGACCGGGACCGAGACCGGGACGAGATCAGGACCAGATTGAGACTGACACCAGACCGGGACCAGACCGAGACAGAGATCAGAACTGAGACCGGGACCAAGACCAGAACTGAGACCGGGACCAAGATCAGAACTGAGACCGGGACCAGAGTGGGACAGAGGTCAGGACTGAGACCGGGACCAGAACAAGACTGAGACCAGACCGGGACCAAACCGAGACAGAGATCAGAACTGAGACCGGGACCAAGATCAGAACTGAGACAGGGACCAGACCGAGACCAGATTGAGACTGAGACCAGACCGGGACCAGACCGAGACAGAGATCAGGACTGAGACCGGGACCAAGACCAGAACTGAGACCGGGACCAGACCGAGACAGAGATCAGGACTGAGACCAGGACTAAGACCAGAACTGAGACCGGGACCAAGATCAGAACTGAGACCGGGACCAGAGTGGGACAGAGGTCAGGACTGAGACCGGGACCAGAACAAGACTGAGACCAGACCGGGACCAAACCGAGACAGAGATCAGTACTGAGACCGGGACCAAGATCAGAACTGAGACCGGGACCAGACCGAGACTGAGACCAGACCGAGACCATAGCGGGACTGAGACCGAGACCAGACCGGGACCAGGTCGGGACCAGAACAGGACTGAGACCGAGACCAGAGCGGGACCAGAGTGGAGGCTCAGAACCCACGGCAGGGCTGGAGCTCAAAGCTGAGGCTTGGACCCCACAGAGGCTCAGATTCAAAGCTCGGAGTCCGCGCTGATCCCGCTCTAGTCCCGGTCTGGTCCCGGTCTGGTCCCGGACATGGATCAGTCCTGGTTCAGTCCGTATACAGTACAAAAGTTCGGCATCGCAGTCACGGAAGTCACGTAAACGGGAAACGGTCGTTATTTGTTTTTTCAATTTTTCATTTAAACACAAAATCGAAAACTGAAAAAACAATCCTTATTTGTACAGTAATGTTTTTGAAAGTCAGACGGATTTTTACGACAGTCGAAATATCCCTCCACTCCTCCCTCCTGGACTAAAACAGATCTAGAACAGGCCCAAGTAATTCTCAAATCCTGCACCCCAGACAGTTCTTTCAGCTTTTCTTACTCCTTCTCTTCTTCTCCATGCGCTTCTGCCTCTTCTCCTCTCGTCTCTTGGCCTCCTCCACCTCCTGATGCTGTCTGCACTTGTGGAAGTTCTCCACCACCACGCCCACGAACATGTTGAGCACGAAGAAGCTGACGATGAGGAGGAAGGAGATGAAGTACAGCAGCATCCACGGGTTATTGTTGGTGACGGGCTGGAACAAAACACAAAGAAATCATATGACGTTACAATTCAAAATGACTTAGATTCTGATTATTCATTTCGATTTCAGTTTCGACTTCATTAAAGATGCACTATGTAACTTTTCTAGTGGAGGGAACGCTACTTGCTTGTCTCCGTGGAGATGTTATGGCTTTGTCTCAAATTTTAGAGCAATAAAACACTTGTAATTGAGGAAACGCAAGATAACAATAACTTTAATTCCATACTAATAAGTTTAATTCGAGGCAAAGCAATAACGTTTTGGTGGCGACAAGCAGGTGGCAAATAGTAGTTAATGGAGCGTAATTTGCTGTGAATTAAAAATAAAAAGTATTAATTGAAAGAAGTCAGAATGCAGAAGACTTTGTGACTGGAAAAAAAACAATCCAAACAGTTCTAATTACTATTCAAATGTACGTTCATATTCTGAATTTTCAACTAAAACAGATGTTATTTTTAGAGGCATATTTGTATTTTTTTTTTTTTTTAACTTAGCGTAAGTTACAGTAGTTAAGACCCAATAAGATTTCGTCACCTGTTGGTCCACGCCCACAGCGTCCAGCCCGTGGTACATGATGTTCACCCAGCCGTCTTTGGACGCCAGGACAAACAGAGACATCAGGGCCTGGAGGGAATAAGAGGAGACAAACTGTAATGAAGTTTAAGATTGAAATCCCACCCACAACCAGAGTCCAAATTACTGATAAACTGAGCAATGCCTGGAGGACTAAAGGGGAGAGAGAGGGGAGAGAAGGGGCAGGGTCTGGAGGACGAAAGGGGAGAGTGAAGGAAGGAAAGGGGGAAAAGATGGAAGACTAAAAATGGGATTGAGTACGTAAGGAAAGGAGGGATCTGGAGCACTAAAAGGAAGAGTTAGGGGGTGGTTGGTCTTAAGAGTCGAGTGAAGGGATGTGAGTTCTGAAGGACTAAAGGACTAAAAGAGTGAGGGGGGAGGAGGATCATAAACATCATCACAACAAGTGTCACGCTGTGGACAATGCTGACGCCCCTGCCCAGGGACATCTGCACATTAGTATTACTTTTTTTTAGCAAAACTGATACTGAATCCTGTTTGTATTACCAAGAAAAATAAAATAATCAGAGAACAAAGTCAGTAAAGAGTTTGTATGGAGGGCATTGGTCAAAGAAATACTCAATTATGTTACTTAAAGTACAGATATCTGAGCAAAAGAAAACACTAAAAGTATTAAAGTACCTGCTTAAAAATAAAACTTTTGCCTTTTTACTTAAAAGTAAAAAGTAAAAGTATTTCACGCAAATCTTAAGACAGGAATCTTGAAATGTAATGATTTTGATACAGATTTGTGCTGAATTTTGTTCAACAGAAACAGCTGAAACACTTGAATGTGTGTTTTTTAGCTATTTTTATTATTATGATTTTATTTGCTGTTATGTTTTCATTTGCTCAAATTATAAACGTATTATGAACAACTTGTTCTGCAGGTCTAAAACTATTATCAAAAACACTTTTTAACTTTTCAGTCCTGTTCAAAAATGTAGTGGAGTAGAAAGTACAGATATTTGCTTTCAAACACAGTGAAGTTAAAGTAAAAGTATCCATTTTAAAATGTACTTAAGTAAAGTACATGTAGAGGCTAATCTTTGATCTGTTTTCTCCTTATTACTGACTTAACCTCTTCACAAAGAAAGATGACTAATGAGCCCGTCTTACGCGTTTACAACATGATGTCGTTGCAGCGACCGTGTTGCTAAAGGCATCGATTTTCTTTATTGTCAAGTTTGAGAACAGCATTTCTTCACATGTAATTACATAAAAATACAACAGATAGGCACTAGTGCGCCCCCAAATGTTCAAATCATGTATCCGTTTTTTTTCTTTTGAATCAAACTAAATCATGTACTGAAACATATTAAATTGCCTTTTAAACAAAAAATACAAAGTAATTATTATGAATTGTTAAATATATGCAAATATGTAAACCTTATGAAATGGCGCTTACAGAACATATACTAAATATTTATTTATTTTATTCATTTATTTATTTATTTTTTTACTTAAATGTGCACTGAGTAACTTTTTTTGGTGAAAGGTCTGTCAAATGTTTGCCTCCAGTAAGATGTTATTGCTCTGCATGATAGTAACTCTTTCTATCTTCATGGAGACCAAACCAGAACAAGTTACAGGTCAGATCTGTGGAGACGCAACACCACTTACAGTCTAAATGTCTGTTTGTTTTTTATGTATTTCTGACCTATAAAAGCACCTGTAATTTGATAAATGTAAGGCAGACCTGGAATATTTGGAACGTTCCAGAAAGAACAATGACCAGCAGGTGATGGACTCAAATTTACACAATGCACCTTTAAGTACAGTACTTTTACTTCATTACATTCCACCACTGATGGAGGGTAAGAAAAGATATGAATTCTCAACGCCGTCCTGTAAACAATTATAAGACGTTTAAAAGTCAATTTTGCCTGAATAACACCAAATATTGTATTTCTAGACTACATTTGGACCACTCTACCCAGCTTTTCTATTTGCAACAGACCATTTTCCCCAGAAAGCTGTTACTGGAGCGCCGGCACCAGTAACTGACAGTACACAAAAAGCCAATGCAGTGCAATACTAACCTGTCCCAAGTTGTCAAAGTTGTACTTGTGGTGGACCCACTTGTAGTTGGCCTCCAGGCAGTCGGACTTGTTGGTGATGTTTTTGGTGTCCGGGCCGTAGCAGTAGAAGAACTTGCCTTTGAACAGCTGTCAGCGAGGGAACAAAGAAACAGCAATGATGTCACATTCAGGTAGAAAGTACTATGTTTTCTGGGGTTTATGCGCGGGCTAGCAGAAATAATGAGGTGGCGCTGAAAAATAAAAACACAATTAGCACAGAACTTGTAAAAGAAGTATTGAAAACGTCGATAATCTGAATGAGGAAGGCTGTATTTCCTCTTTTATTCGTGCTTCCTGTCACCTTGTCATCAGTCAAAGTCAATCACTTCGCAAGCCATTCATAAAAAACACACGCTTATTCCCCTCTTGCCATTTCTGACAAAAAATAAATAAATAAAATACCGTAGTAGCAGCCAAAAAAAACAGCCTCCCCCTCTCTTCTTCACCAACACCATGGTTCAAAATTGACTCCTGAGCCATATTATAATGTTGTTAACTCCTTAAAAACTTAATACTTGGAGTTATGTTTTCTTTCATTCACACATGTTTGGATAATCCTTGAGTAATCCTAATGATCTGATCTGTTAAAAGATTTTTTGTACATCGGGCCGAGGCTTCATTTTTTTTTAGGGTAAAAGACGGAAACTACATCGCGACAGTCACGAACTTTTTTCAAATGCTGTGCATCTGTGTGAACCACCTCCGTCCTCCACAAGCTCCCTTAGTAGAAACATCATCCTCCCGCCAGTCGTCGCACAGTGTACGCCCGGCATTACTCTAGAAATCACGCTTGTTTACAGCCGGTGCTCGTTCAGAATTACTGTTGAAGTGACCTGTCTAGAAGTAACTTAGCGACGGACGCGTCAGTTTTTAGACCCTTCGTCTGCTTCAGTGGCGCCATCGCTGGAAGGAATCTCCAAGAATCACCTCAGTTTGGCTTCGCTCCTTTTCCCCTTCTCTTCTTCTTTCAGCGACCTCAAAAACGGACTTTCTTTTGAACTGGTCGTAGATTCTCGTCCACCATCGCAACAGACTTTGTGCAAACTGCGAGGAAGCTACAGTTTGAAAAAGACTCTAAGAACCGCTGCATAAACCACGTAATCCCATCGCGCCGACGAGTCAGTTACACTAGGAACACAGGGAGTTTGATTGACAACCGACCAGCCAATAGAAAATGAGGCAGCCTCGTTATCTATTGGCTGATGTTTATCTGGCCTCACTACGTCGATTTTCATTCTTTTTTTTTTTGGACATCATAATTACAAGGCTGCTGCATCTCTGTAATGGTATTTTAAACTTTCATTGACAATTTGAAGCTAAAAAAAAAATCCTCCATACAACCTTTAAACTATAACAGAGGCTTTGACTTTGAAGTTACTGCTAGTGTTTTTGTCTTGTTAAAACGACTTCTCGGTGCAGTAAAATCAGACCACTAATTCTCAAATTGACTAAACTACACGGCAAATTAACTAGTTGGAGCATTGTTTTTAGCTTAGTTTCAATATCTTCACTCGACTTTTTGTGCCCTTTTCATTTTTTACACCTTTTTTAGACCTCTCCTGTTGGAATCTCTTGGTTACGTGTATAATGTTGTCGTAGATGCTCCTACCTGTACTCCCAGAATGCCAAAGATAATGAAGAACGCGCAGCAGATGAGGACGATGTTTCCGATGGGTTTGAGAGACGTGATGAGGGTTTCCACCACCAGCTTCAGACCAGGAGCTCTGCTGATCACCCTGGAAACAACACCACAATTTGGGGTATATTTATATTTAAGCATGTGCTAAATTACCAGTGCAAACTATGTGCTATTTGTTGGCGTGTTGTACTTGATTTTCCACTGTTTCTGCTCCGTGTGCACACTCAGCCTACATCAGGGGTCTCTGTACCTGTAGATTGGGAGCTACGAGTAGCTCTCCACCCCTTTCCAAGTAGCTCCCCAAATTATTTTTGAATTATGAATATTGTGCTGAATAACTCAAATTTTATGTAAGTAAATGCCTATTACCGATCTTTGTGCACTAACAAATGGAGAATAATTGTGTAATTTATTTTTACATTTTTTTTATATCCATCAAACTGTAAAAAAAATGTATCTAGTACAATACACCTAAAATAATCTCAGTGATATATCGATACAGCAGCCTACGATATTGATAATGTATCATCAAATTAAAGGTAACACTTTATAATAACTACACCTTATTTAACCTTAATAAAGCATGAACAAAGACTTAATTAATAATGAACAAAGACTTAATAATAATAATAATGACTCATGCTTAGTAACTACTTAATTACTACCAGAATTAGCACTTGCACATAATTTTCCTGTGCCGTAAATAGTTACTCATAATTATTTAATACTTAATTACTCATAAACTAACCATTTGAGCATTTATTAATCATTAATAAGCTATTGAGAGAATGGTTTACTAATAATGCAATGCAATGATAATTCAGGCAGCTGTTATCTGTTAGTTAAGTCTTTGAGCGCTTTTCTAAAGTGAAGACAAATTATGCTTTATTAAGCATTTACTAAGCATGAATCATTATTAATTAAATGTTTGTTCATTATTAATTAAATCTTTGTTCATGCTTTATTAAGGCTAAGTAAGGTGTAGTTATTATAAAGTGTTACCCAAATTACATAACATGATATATCCGTATTTCAATATTTTTGCACACCTCTACCAAGTAGTTTTTACAATATGACATAATCTGTACATTAGAATAAATATTTACCATACATATACATAAACCAAGCACCACCCGCACACTTTCCACTTTTCAAAGTTCCCACTCGGGACCAACACAAGCTGGTTGAAGTCTGTTGGAGACACTTTTGGCAGACACCACCTGTAAGATGCTGCAGCACTGCTCCGAGCTGCCCGCTACCATTGTTAACTTTGTAACTTTGTTTTTATAGATTTTTAGAAAGCATTTCAAAACATACAAAGAGCAATATAAATCAAAACAACAAAACAAAAGTCTGGAGTTACAGGTTCTTATTTAAACAGGCATTTGGTAGTGACACTTTAATGCACTTTTTTATTTATTGGTGTCATTTATCAGGGTATCCCCAGGTTTGACTACCCCAAATTTAAGACTTTTTAAAGACCTTTTTAAAACCACTACCAAACTATATCTAGAATCTAAGAGCCACTGTGGATTAAACCTACACTTCCCCATGATCCATCCAACATCTTCCTCCACTCGACTGATCGTACCCATGTACCCATCCAAAGCTCTTATATTTACTCAATTTCTTGCGACCATTAAAATTAGTAGCTGTCTGCCATTTTTCTTTCGTAAAAGTAGCTCACCAGAGGAAAAAGGTCGGACTCCCCTGGCCTGCATTATATGATAAGTTTACTCACTGATATGCCCTTTGAAATTGGTCCCAAAATGTCAATATTATCGTTTTTCGCAATAATTTCTTGGTCAATTAATCGTCCTGCAAAATCTGTTATCGTTACAGGCCTATTAAGTAAAAATGGATTCAATTTAAATTTGTTTAATCATCAGCTTTACACCGTGCTCACTGTAGATACGCACATACGCCTATAGACACAGAAGCCTCGTGCATGTTGCCCTGTCTGAGCCAAATCCAAAGATGCGTAAAGGAGAAACAGATGATCCGCCGCACCAGAGACGTGTTTGGAAACTGAGTCCACACTTTTACCGTAGCGTTCTATAGAGCTGCCAAAAATGCAGAGTCTGGGACACATTATCGGAGCAGAATCAGTGAGAGAATGGGTCTCTAAATGATTGAATCTGCATTTTTTCCTCCTTCTTATTTGCGCATTTTGGCGAAATGTACGTAAAACAGGGCGTCTTTTGAATATCCCAAGAGCAAATCTCACTGTGTCTACTTTTTACAGTGTCAAATGCATAAAGCACCTGTGCATACGCTTAGTAAATATACCTTTTTATGTTTTACTTTTGCATTTTAGTTTCTCAGTTTGAGGGCTGATCATTTGAGAGAGAGCAAATAGCAAAAAAATTGTTCTAAACGAATAATTTATTTCAGAACCAAATGACAAAATATGTAATTACTCTTGCAACACTTAGCTTTAAAATTCCCAATGTTCACTGAGGCCATGGTCATTGATAATTTGTGTGCTCGCTTAGAAAAACCTGTTTTTGACATTTGAATGGATTGCATGCAGTGTTTCAGTCTAGTTTATGTAGTGTAAAATAAAATAAAATAATGATATACAATAATACAACAAATATAAAATACATAAATGCATCTTTCATTCTAAAACATCTACGAAACATCAAAACATTCTGTAATTTTCCACTTGACCCGTACCTGAGTGGGCGCAGTGTCCGCAGCAGCCTGAGCACCCTAAGGACCCCGAGGATCTTGGCCCCTCCCGCCATGGACACCACGATGTCGATGAGGGACACGAACACCAGGAAACCGTCCAAGACGTTCCAGCTGCTCCTGAGGTAGGCCTGCTCCCCCATGTACAAGCCCATGGACACCACCTGAACACAACAGGACAGACACAAGAGTTTATATTTATTGGTGTCATTCATCAGGGTATCCCCAGGTCCGATTACCCCAAATTTAAGACTTTTTAAGACCTTTTTAAGACCACTACCGAACTATATCTAGAATCTAAGAGCCACTGTGGATTAAACCTACACTTCCCCATGATCCATCCAACATCTTCCTCCACTTGACTGATTGTTTACTCATTGCCAAAAACCAAAGTATTGTTTGCGCATACTCCAAATTAGACGTTCATTCACGTTACATGATTTCACGTTGTTGTTGTTTAACATTGCACTGCAGCCCAGTCGAGTTTACAAAAAAAATAGGCTAATGAAACTTCAGACCTTTGTGAAAAAAATAAGACTTGGACAACATCATTTAAGAGTTAAAGTCTTAATTTAGGAACTTGAAATTTAAGGCCTTTTTAAGACTTTTAAGTTCCCTGTTAATAAATGCATTTTACTTTTCCCATCACTCACCATATTTATACCCTTTCAGATTATTCTTTGCATCACTGAAACTCTCTCCACAATCCTGATCCATTCTTGTTGTGCGGGTGGATTTGGTTGTAATCAAATCTTTGTAATTCCCCTTTTAGACACACATTTTTTGTCAGATATGTAACTTCCTTCCTTACTGCATCTGATATACAGTATTTCCCAGATACGTCACCATCGGTAAGTTTTACTCTTCTAACAAACTCCACATTTATCCATTCTTGGTACTTAAGACTTGCTAATTACCTGCTGCCTGTGTTTTATAGTGCGGCCGATCGAATACAGCGTGGTGCTCTCGATCTTACACAACTTCGCTTTTATAAGTATAACTAGAAAAGCAGTCAGAGAGCGCAGACCTCCGCCAAGGACTACCCCCATTTTTTATATAAATTGCGATAAAATCAGTCTTCTGGATGACATCCGGATCAGCCTTTGGAATATGAAAGAGGATCCCATTGTCCATCCCTGAGTCAAATTTCATGGGGTTTGGTCAATAATTAACCCAGATATTGAGAAACTAAATTTTTGGCCCCATTTACCACAATGTTAACTAAAATTTCAAAGTGATCCAGAATCCAGGATTTCTTCCGGATCACCCCCAAAATGAAATCAGTTTTTCCTTTTCACATTTCCAACAAATCCTGAAAATTTCATCAAAATCGGTCCATAACTTTTTGAGTTATGTTGCTAACAGACAAAACAAACAAACAAACAAACAAACAAACAGACAAACGCGGGCAAAAACATAACCTCCTTGGCCGGAGGTAAAAAAATGCCCAAACTAGGGATGGGCATTCGATTAAATTTTATTAGTCGATCGTCGGGAGAATTAACGATCAATTTTCGATTAATCATTAACGTTTTTATATACAAAATTTATCATCATTATTATTACTATTACTAATCTGCATAAATAAACTCAACTTCATAGCATATAAACCATAACCACTATAGAGACACATCAGCCCGTTTGACATTGTAATGTGTTTAATGCAGCTTTGGCTAATTTGCATAAACTAAGCGGGAAAAAAAAAAGAAAATGTTATTGTCCGCTGATGCGGTTCAGCTTCTGTCAGCTTCTGTTCTCTCTGTGACAGAGGGATGTTGTGTTGATGCTGAAGGTGAGTGCTCTGTGTGTGTCGCCATGTTTTCAAAGATCGTACGTATGCAGGTTTAGCGCCGTTCTTTATGTTGCAAAAACTGGGATACTGCGTAAACATGCAACATGACGAAACCGGGATACAGATGTGCATCTAAACGCCCTCACTGAGTGGTACAGTGTCTCCAAAGAGGTGCCACAGCCCAAATGTGGGACTGAGGCTGCAACTCGTGTTTGCGCTGTCAGATGCAGCTTCGTCTCTACGCACAGAAACCTACATTTGGTTTGTCGATTAGAAATGACCGTAATTGTCATAATAATTTTATTATCCCATATTTGCTAAATACTTGTGTGATATTCTAGGCCTATGAGTTAACCATTTATGTACTACAATTCTTTCATTTATAATGTACCAATCACTTGTCACTTGTTGAATAACCTCTGTGTGTTTGACAACTGTGTGCAGTGTCCTATCGCTCTTGTGAACCTCGAGATGATTCCTCACATGAAGCCAACTCCCACTGTCACACATGCAAGAGTTATGATGGTGTCTGACCAAACCTAAGGCACCTCCTGATTGTTAATCATGTTTTATGTGTTTGGACTATGCATAGCTGCACCAGTTTCTTATTATGTCTTGGCTGTTTCCCCTTCCCCTTGAGAATTATCATTCTGTAACTAGGGCCTCCTAATGAAATAAAAAGAGGAGAGCGGCCTTGAGTCATCAGAACGTGTGGAGACTGTTGGTTTTGATGCCCACTCTCTGCCCGTTCTCCTCGCGAGTAAAACTGAATTAATCTCTTGTCTTTCTTCTTGTTTACAATGTTTAGATAAACCTAACAGTAATCAACAAAATTCTTAATGATCAATTATCGCTTAGTCGACCAATCATGCCCATCCCTAGTCCAAACAACATATATATTAGCATCGCTTTACTGAAAATCATTTAAAATTACAGTGACAGGAACCCCGCTGTCACACTCAGCCTGTCATACGCTGAACACACGTTAAACCTGTGATCGTCCCGAGCAGTCACTAATCAAACTGATGGATAATACACACGTAATTATTGTCATGTATTCATTATTCTATGTCCCAAACAGCTGCGGGCGTGTGTGTTCTGAAAATAAGTCATTAATCATGCGAATTTGAATCGGATGTGAACATGAAAACACAGCGGCCCACATGGGATTAACATGGGGCTAAACCAGGAATAATCAGGCGAGCGCAGAACAGCCTGTACCATGATGGAAGACCGGACCACTATAGGGGAAATTAACGTCTTTATATTATTTAGATAGTCCAGTGAAAAAGGCCCCATCACCTGCTCGTCTCCATTCAGATCTTACACATTTACGGTGTAGTATGTAAATCACGTGAGGCTCATTCTGTTTTTTGATTGGATAATCGTCTTGAGAACCAAAACTCCAAATTATAACGTAAACAAGTTGGCATGTTTGTATAGAAAAAAGAAAAACGTGGCTGTTTGCTGGAGGTTTTCCAATCAGTGGAAGCAGGTAGAAGGTGTTCTTGGAAAAAGGATCAAAACTTTTAACACAACAGAATCCAGGCAACTCTCCAAAGAAGTAAAAATCGCAGAAGAAAAAACTGGTCTTCATCAGGGCTTAGTTAAAACAGGGCATGGGCGTGGCCTTTAAGAAAAAAACACCAAGCAATAGTAGGGACTAACTTCGCATGTTTACGTCATATCTATAGACAGAATTAGGTCATGTTTATGGAAATTGAAATCAAAATCTTACATACAGGTGCCAAATCATTAATTTGTGTACACATTTAAAGATACACTGTGCATGTTATCTGCAGAAAGTTACATATTGTACCTTTAAGTTTCTATGTAGATTGATTTGATGATCTTCAAAGTTTTGATTATTATAACAGAAAAACTAGGCATGTTTACGTCATATCTGAGGACAGAATAAGACATGTTTATGGAATTAAAAATCAAAACTTTACATACAGTTCCTTTAAAGACACCAAATTATTCTACATACAGATTTAAAGTGACAGTACTTGATTTTCTGGAGGTGGCACCTACACCTACATGATTCTATGGAAAAAGAAAGTTAAAACCATAATTTGGAACATTTTACATGGACATATGCAGGTTTTATGCCATGCTGTGGAAGATTATCACCAAAGGAATGACATTTCCATGGAAACGGGCAGGTTTGTGGAGAAGCGAGCTCCAGTTTTTTCAGTGCAGTTAACAATGAAAATGATGAACAAAAAACATACAGCTTTTCTTTTAATCTATAGTCTGGTTTTAAAGTGGTCAAACTAACAAAGATGAGTATTTCCTGTTAAAACATCATTTAAATGTGCACTGTGTAACTTTTTGGTTCACCTGCTTGTTTCTATGGAGATGTCATTGCTCTGCCTGGAATGTTCCACAGTATGACATTAAACAGCTTTACTTTTAATTCATTTACAGGTGGTTTTATAGCTCAAAAATTCCAAGAAAAACAACATTTTGACTGTGAGCGGGGTCGCCTCTCCACAGATCTGACCTGTAACTTGGTCCGGTTTGGTCTCCACGAAGATAGAAAAGTTTAATGCCACACTGCGAAACATTCCAGACAAAGCAATAACATCTCCATGAAGAAAAGCATTTGACAGACCCTCCACCAGAAAAGTTACACAATGCTCCTTTAAAGTTGACATGGAAACAACATTATATCATATTGAACAGATCAGTAAAGTCACGTCTGGCCCCTGAAGTTAAAACCTTCATCCCTCACCACATACGGCCCCAGACAAAGAGGGCCCCAGGCTGACGGGCTGTAGCTCCTCAAGTCTTAATAATTGATTGCGGGAGTGCATTATTTATGAGGTACTTTGGTCCAACTTATTAAAGGAAAACAGATTGGAGATAAATAAAGACATCAATGCACCGGGGGGAGGTGTCTGCAGCCGGTCTCCATGGAGATGGTAGTAGGTAGGTGGTGCTTTGCTTGGAATGTTCCACAGTATGGCACTAAACTTACAGCATCCGTCTCCATGAAGAAGCTGCCAGGTCAAGTTCAGATGTGCTTACAGCAAAAAAGCATGTTTTTTAAGTTTAAATGTACAGATGATATAGATAGGGGTCTCCAACTTGTAGCTCAGGAGCCACCAGTAGCTCTCCACTCCCTTCCAAGTAGCTCACCAAGAGATTTCGGAATTGTACATATTCTTCTGAATAACAAAAATAGGATTGTAAATGTATAAATAAATGTATAAACATCTAACTGTACCCCATCTAATCATGGCTCTTAAATTTACTACATTTCTTGTGACCGTTAAAATGAGAAGCTCTTCAGCATTTTCATTTTGTAAAAGTAGCTCACCGGAGAAAAAAAAAAAAGTTTGGAGACCCCTGATATAGCTAGAGAAATAGGAAGTGAGCACAGGTTGCTCCTGTCAGGTTTGACATGTAGATCTTGAAATGTTAATATTAACCTGCTCTACGTGATCCTGGTGTTTTTATTTCATGATTTTATCCTTTAATCAAGAAATGAACATCAATAACAAACTGACTGACTCACAGCCTTCTCCTAAACCAGTGAGACGGGCAGGAAAGGCCAAATGCCCTCAACAAGCTCACTCCTGATGGGCTTTTGGATAAAAGTAGCTCAGTTGGTAGAGCGTTTGCCCACTGATCTGAAGGTTGGTGGTTCAAATCCCACTCTTGATCCTGTTTGCCCTTGGGCAAGACACTTATAATGCAGCTTTGCACACAATAGTTTACATTTTACAGAAACGAAACGGCTACTTTGCATAAACTATAAGTGCTGAAAAACAGCTCGCTCCTTGTGCACTGATGTGGTCAGCTTCTGTCGGACTAAAGGACATGACTCTTCAAGGCTCCTGACTATGGCAGTCGTAATACTCCGACAATCCATCAAGCGGCGCAGCTTCGTAGTTTACCAAAGTCGTACTAAAACATTTTGACAGATTTTTGAGCCCTTTGTAACACATAAAATCAGTTCAAGGTCAGTAAGCACAACCAGAATTAATATATAAGGTGCAGTTGATTATAAGGCGCACTGTTTATTTTTTAGAAAATTTAAGGATTTTAAGTGCACCTTATAGTCTGAAAAACACGGCACTTGTCCCTATCAAATAAATAAATAAATAAATACATACAGTTTACGATTTAATGCAGTACTGTGGAACATTCTTAGCACAACAATAAAACATCTCCATGGAGACCGTTGTGCTGTACTCTCCACCAGAAAAGTGAGTGTCCCTTTAACAAAAGCAGTTCTGTTTTGTTCTGGTAGAAGAGGCATTAACATTGAGCAAACCTGAATATGGGGCCTATATGTGCTTTTGATAATGCTCCATTCAAGGCTCATTGACCATAAAACAGATACAGGCGATAAACTTTTACCTTTAGAGTCATCTCTCCCACAAAGATGGCCGTAAAGATGTAGTTGGAGACGGTGAGGAACACTCTCTCCTAAAAAGAAGAGAGAGAGGAAACAATGCAGTCAGGAAGAGCTAAAACCGCTATTTATCACATCATAAAACCAAAGAGTTTCATTGTGAGTGGAAACGGTGTTCACTGCAAAAAAGAAACTCTAGAATGACTTGAAATAACTGGAACTCAAAATTGAAACGTATCATTTGAAGGGCTAATTTTTCATAATTTTTTTTATTTATTTACGTAGAAGATATAGACCAGGAGTGTATTTTTTTAGTCGCCACACATTAAATTGAGGGTGTATATCTGTAAACTAGTCACAAATACTCAAATTAGGATTATTATTGTGGAATCATAAGGGTGAATTCACGTTCATGTGCTGCACTCTGAATTGAACTCTACACATTTATCAGTCTGGAATGGCTGTCACTGAAACCAGTCTGGAAAAGTGGGAAGTCATGACAAATATTTGAGTCTGACTGGTAGAAGTGTCACAACAGCGGAACAAGCCGGAAAATCGAACTTTTCTTACATCCAGTTACATCTTCCCTGTCCACAAATGCAGAAAAAGTTTTTCAGAGACAAAATAGTTTGTGTTTCTGATCAAATGAAATAGGTAGGGACGGGACGAGACACAATTTCCACAAAACGAGACAGGATACAAGATTGGGTCCATGAGAACGAGACAAGACGAGATTTTAACATAATTCCTAATATATAAATTTCATGATTAAATTTCCAATTTTGGCCTAACAATTTGTTTAATTTGATATTTTTGTCTCCATTCTAGTACTGCTTTTCGGAACTGTTAGAGATGTAACTCACCCATATGTAATTCTTTTTAGTCCAATCCAAATGTAAACACTTGGGAAAAAATCTCACAAGATAATTTTCTCACATGTGCACGATCTTGTTTTGTCTCACGAGATCTTGTGACACGAGATCTTGTACCATCCCTAAAAATGAGCCATGTTTGGTTCATTTGGTTTACGCGTAATCACAACAGCGGGAGCCGGGCCAGATGGTTTCTTGTCATCATTTGTGAACTCGCAAATATCTTTTTTGAAAGAAATATCCAATCTCATAATTCACAAATGTTGAAACTTATCACTATTTGTTAGAGAATGGCTTCACAAACCTTAAATAGTAATCTGTACAGGTGAAACAAGATGTAATTTCCACAAAATTTGAAGAGATACTGTAGAAGATTAGGCCCAATTCCAATTTAATTCCTTATAAATAAATATATAAAGTTTCCAATTTGCCATCACAATTTTTTATTTATTTGATTTCATATTTTTTGTTTCCATTCTAGTATTGCTTTTCGGAACTGTTAGAGATATAACTCACCCATACGTTTTTTTTTTTTTTTTAATCCAATCCAAAAAAATGTAAACACTTGGAAAACAATTTTGTGAGATAATTTTTCCCATCTGTGCACGGTCTTGTGGCAATTTTGTCTCACGAGATCTTGTACCATCCCTAGAAATGAGCCTTTTCTGGAATCTTTGACTCCACCCAAACCACAATGCTGCTCTGTGATTGGTCAGAATCTCCCACCCAAACCACCCAACTTGCAAATATGAGTGAGATTTCCAGTCTCATAATCCACAAATATTGAAATTTATCACTATTTGTTAGGGAATAGCTCCACAAAACTGACATAGTAATCTGTAGAACGTGGAACGAGACATAATTTCAACAAAATGAGACGATGAGAACAAGCCAAAATTTGGGTGTAATTCCTTATAAATAAATTTCCCAATTCAGTTTCCAATTTTGGCCTCACATTTTTTTATTTATTTGATTTCATATTTTTTGTTTCCATTCTAGTATTGCTTTTCAGAACTGTTAGACATGTAACTCACGGAGGCGTAACCCTTTTAGGTCCAAACCGAAAACTTGTGGGGAAAAAAATCTCATGAAATTATTTTTCTCTGGTGTGCACGATCTTGTGCCAATTTTGTCTCACGAGATCTTGTGGCAGGAGATATTGTACCATCCCAAGAAATGAGCCATGTTTGGTTCATTTGGTTTATGGTTAATCACAACAGCGGGAGCCGTGCCAGCTGGTTTCTCGCCAGTTTGTGGACTCGCAAATATAAGTGAGAGTTCATCTTTTTTGGAAGAAATACCCCATCTCATAATCCATAAATGTTGAAATTTATCACGATTTGTTAGGGAATGGGTCCACAAATTTACCATAGTAATCTGTAGGGGTGGAACGAGACATCATTTCTACAAAACGTGACGAGATATGAGCCCACAAGAACGAGCCAAGACGATATTTTAGTGTAATTCCTTTTAAATACATAACCAATTCAGTTTCCAATTTGGCCTCACAATTTTTTATTTGTTTCATTTCATATTTTTGTCTTCATTCTAGTATTGCTTTTTGGAACTGTTAGAGATGTAACTCACCCATACGTAATTCTTTTTTAGTCTAATCCAAATGTAAATACTTGGGAAAAAAATCTCACAAGATAATTTTTCTCGTCTGTGCACGATCTTGTGGCAATTTTGTCTCACGAGATCTTGTACCATCCCTAGAAATAAGCCAATGTTGATTCATTCATTAACAACAGCGGGAGCCAGGCCAGATGGTTTCTCGCCAGTTTGTGAACTCGCAAATATGAGTAAGAGTTCATCTTTTTTGGAAGAAATACCCATTCTCATAATCCATAAATGTGGAAATGTATCACTATTTGTTAGAGAATGGCTTCACAAACCTTAAATAGTAATCTGTACAGGTGAAACAAGATGTAATTTCCACAAAATTTGAAGAGATACTGTAGGAGATTAGGCCCAATTCCAATTTAATTCCTTATAAATAAATATATAAAGTTTCCAATTTGCCATCACAATTTTTTTTATTTATTTGATTTCATATTTTTTGTTTCCATTCTAGTATTGCTTTTCGGAACTGTTAGAGATATAACTCACCCATACGTTTTTTTTTTTTTTAATCCAATCCAAAATGTAAACACTTGGAAAACAATTTTGTGAGATAATTTTTCTCGTCTGTGCACGATCTTGTGGCAATTTTGTCTCACGAGATCTTGTACCATCCCTAGAAATGAGCCTTTTCTGGAATCTTTGACTCCACCCAAACCACAATGCTGCTCTGTGATTGGTCAGAACCTCCCACCCAAACCACCCAGCTTGCAAATATGAGTGAGATTTCCAGTCTCATAATCCACAAATATTGAAATTTATCACTATTTGTTAGGGAATAGCTCCACAAAACTGACATAGTAATCTGTAGAAGTGGAACGAGACATAATTTCAACAAAATGAGACGATGAGAACAAGCCAAAATTTTGGTGTAATTCCTTATAAATAAATTTCCCAATTCAGTTTCCAATTTTGGCCTCACATTTTTTTATTTATTTGATTTCATATTTTTGTTTCCATTCTAGTATTGCTTTTCAGAACTGTTAGACATGTAACTCACGGAGGCGTAACCCTTTTAGGTCCAAACCGAAAACTTGTGGGGAAAAAAATCTCATGAAATTATTTTTCTCTGGTGTGCACGATCTTGTGCCAATTTTGTCTCATGAGATCTTGTGGCAGGAGATATTGTACCATCCCAAGAAATGAGCCATGTTTGGTTCATTTGGTTTATGGTTAATCACAACAGCGGGAGCCGTGCCAGCTGGTTTCTCGCCAGTTTGTGGACTCGCAAATATAAGTGAGAGTTCATCTTTTTTGGAAGAAATACCCCATCTCATAATCCATAAATGTTGAAATTTATCACGATTTGTTAGGGAATGGCTCCACAAATTTACCATAGTAATCTGTAGGGGTGGAACGAGACATCATTTCTACAAAACGTGACGAGATATGAGCCCACAAGAACGAGCCAAGACGATATTTTAGTGTAATTCCTTTTAAATACATTTAACAATTCAGTTTCCAATTTGGCCTCACAATTTTTTATTTGTTTCATTTCATATTTTTGTCTCCATTCTAGTATTGCTTTTTGGAACTGTTAGAGATGTAACTCACCCATCCCATACGTAATTCTTTTTTAGTCTAATCCAAATGTAAATACTTGGGAAAAAAATCTCACAAGATCATTTTTCTCGTCTGTGCACGATCTTGTGGCAATTTTGTCTCACGAGATCTTGTACCATCCCTAGAAATAAGCAATGTTTGATTCATTCGGTTAACAACAGCGGGAGCCAGGCCAGATGGTTTCTCGCCAGTCTGTGAACTCACAAATATGAGTAAGAGTTCATCTTTTTTGGAAGAAATACCCATTCTCATAATCCATAAATGTGGAAATTTATCACTATTTGTTAGGGAATGGCTCCACAAACTTGCCATAGTAATCTGTACGGGTGGAGCGAGACAAAATTTCATCAAAACGAAATGAGATACGAGATTGGGCCCGCGAGAATGAGCCAAGATGAGATTTTTTTTGTGTAATTCCTTATAAATAAATTTTCCGATTCAGTTTCTAGTTTTAGAGTCACAATTTTCTATATATTTGATTTCATATTTTTACTTCCAGTCTAGTATTGCTTCTCGGAACTGTAAGATTTAACTCACGAGCACGTAAGCCTTTTTCGTCCAATCCAAATGTAAAAAAAAAATTGGGAAAAAATCTCACAAGATAATTTTTCTCAAGTGTGCACGATCTTATTTTGTCTCCTGAGATCTTGTGACACGAGATCTTGCACCATCCCTAATAAACTGACAACAATCACGTCTTTGGTGTTGAATATTGAGAATACAGAACAATACTGCCTCTGTAGCGCTGGTTTATATTTGTTGTTTTCTTACCATTGCTGGTATGTGCTGTCCATTACATTACTTGTATTTGTTGTTTCTTACCATTGTCTGTATCTTTAACTTTACCACTGTTGGTAAACTTATGTTATACTACCAAACTATAACAGTGACTCTTTGTCTGCACTTGTAAATAGTTCATATAGTTCAATTCAAAATGTCTGAAAAACACAAAATAAGATCATTAAATAAGTTTTCTTCTTCCCACTCCTTTTTGGGCAAAATAATAATAATAGTTAATTTTTTAATGTATTTTTTGTTATTTTCATTTCTATTATGATTTCACTTATGTTATATGTTCCATTGTATATACATGTAAATCTTTACTTGCCCAAAATAAATGCATAAATAAAATAAAATAATACTTCATGAAGCTACTGTGAAAAAAAACTAAACACTTCACATCACGTTTTTTTTTTTTTTTTTTTTATAGAGAAAGAACTTTGAGCCTTCTTTTGTTTCATGTGGATAGGCCCAGTAATTACAGAGATATGAACCTACAAACTAGGTCAATAAATCTGCAATCTGACACTTAAACAGCAAAATCCATTGTAGAATTCTCAAGTTTAAACTATAGATATTCTAAAATGTTGTGATCATACACAGACATCGGTTTGTTTTGCAGTGCAGTGCAGACAGGCCATTCCGGGGGAGATAAACTTTAGTTACCTCTTTACATAACAACCACTAACTCTTCCTGTGCGAATTCCTTCTCTATTTCCTTACCCACTCGGACAAGGCAGAGCGTTTGAATGGGGCTTACCAGGCTCCCCTGCAGGATCTTGGGCCTCTCCAGAGCCACGGTAATGCAGTTGGAGAAAATGAAAGCCAAAACCACATAGTCAAAGAGCTTATGCGCGATGATGGACTGGCACATCAGGCGGAATCTGCGGGGAGACAGGAAATAGAATGTGAAATAAAACATCTCGTATTTCAGACCCGGTTTTAAATAGACGTGGACAAATGGGCGAGGGGAGATGGGTTACTGAGCGGGTGAAGGTGGCTACTGGTGTCGGTGGTGAAGAGGAGGAGATGGAGAGGCTGAGGAGGCTGGTGGAGCTGCTGCGGCGGCGGCGGCGGTGGAGGTGGGATGGAGGAAGGTTGGAGCTGAAATGGTATATGAAGGAGAGAAAGTGTTTATCTGAGTATTTTTGCATAGTTATGAGGATGACACAACATAATAAAAACATGAACTGCAGTCTTAAATATTGAGGATTTGCGTGCGACGTGGCAGTCACGTCATTTAATGTTTCGGCAGCCATACTGGAGGTCAAGATTGGGGTTGATCTGAATGGTGTTATTCGGTTTACAATATAATCATGGTGACTTTAAACAGTGCAAATGACATAAAACTGTCCGATATCGCCAGCTCGTTAGATCAGCCGTTATTAGAAAGATATAAAGCTAAAGTCGTCCTCCTGGGTTGTGGAATAGATCCTGATCTAATTCCGACGGACCGCTTTGTCAGTCTAATCAACGCTTGCTCTGTTCCTAAAGTTTTACTTTGGCTTTCACTGGTGAAATAATAATGATGGGACGTAATCCGGTGAAAGTGGGTTATCATTCTTCATACCTACGAGAAAGAAATACTTGGTATAGTATCTGTCATTTCTTTACTGTAAATCCCTCCATCGTTTGTGTGGAGATGGTCCCTCACCAGAAATGAAATGTTGAAGCACAGACGACTGTACTCAGTGAGCCCCATCCCTCTTTGCGATCTTTATCAGCCGGGATCAGATAGAAAGATACTTTGACCTCCTTCTTTAACAGATTGACTCCGGCCAGAACATCCAACAGCAACACAGGTCAAAACCATTGTTATTCAATTCAAATTTTATCCTACAAGTTCATCCAGATGGATAGTTCGACCTCCAATGTGGCTCCAACATAAACACCAGTTCACGTGGTTTTGTGACATAGATGCAAAACCTTAATAGCTAAAAACCTTACATTCATTTCAATTCATATCATTTATGTTCACGCAAATTGGAAATGTTTTCATGAGTTAAACTGTGTGAGAATCAAAACAGGACAAAGACAAAACCAGGGACAAACAAAAGACTTTACATGTGCAATTGACAGGGTTCCCACTCTTTTTCACTGACAAAATTCCAAAACTTTTCCATGACTTTTTCATGACCTAAAGTGAATTTTTCATGACATGACTTTACGGCACCTACATGTGAAGAATTGATCAGACTTTTAGGGCTAAATATGAAATGTTAACCTTTTCCAATCACCTTATGGTTTGGTATTATAGTTTTTAACATTCAAAACACTGTCAGTGCATTTATTGTTGTCTTTTTTTAAACAAAAGGTGCATATATTTCAGAAATAATCATAATAGCCTCATGAGAACTTTACAGAACACTGCAGTTAGTGAAAAGATACGCCATGACTTTTCCAGGCCTGGAAAATGACATTTTCAATTTCCATGACTTTTCTAGGATTTCCCTGAACCCTAAATTAAAATATTAAATGTTGTCACCCTTTTCCATTTAAATATTTTGTCTTAAATGAGTTTAGCTTTTCTTTTTTTTCTTTAGAAATCTAATTTATTTGCAGTTACATGAACTAAAGTGGCATAATATCTTTATTTAAGATTAAATGTAGTAGCCTGTGCTCTTGGAGTTTAAAAATGTACCATAATCACAACTGAACCTGTGCTGCCTGTGTCCTAACCTGCAGATAGAGACACATCCAGGTTTGTCTCATTCTCAGTTTATGTACAGGCCTCACGTGAAAGCTCAGAACCTCCAGAATTCTCTCACTGAGCTGCAGAGGCTGCACTAGCACTGACTCATGACTGACTGTAGGTGCTGGGGTTTAGGTCATAACCATTCAGATCAGAAAGAGGCATTTTAGGTTTAAAAACACTGGATTTCAGCTTTGAATCTGCCAACGCAAATGAGAGATTGATGTGAGGATCATCTTGAGAATAGAAACTGACCAATATTACTGATTGTTTAGAATACAGAGCAACCGATGGCCGATTTTTGGGCTGATCTGCGATGTAATTTAATGTAATTTTACTTTACTACAACCTCACCCACCGCCCTTTTACCACAAACCTTTAAGCGAGCGGTGTTGTTAAGTTTTGTGCAGCTATCTCTTCGTATTAAGGTGTGTTTTTTATGCAGCACATTGACCAGAGCAAAATATCGTCCTCATCAGTCTATCTCTGCTTGAAAATCAAAACACTAAATTATATCGTAAGCAATTTGGTCATGTTCAGGAATAAATCAGCATCACAGTTGTTTTCAGTAAAAGCTGTATTTGATTTGAACATGTTTCCCTCGTATCTGGGAACACGGTTACAAGGAATTACAAATCTAAATCTTACGTTTCCTTTAACATTAACTGTAAAATAACACAATAAAGCACATTACTATAACTTATTTTCTGCAATGTGGCTTTAACATCTACCATTTCATGACCAGTTAACAGATTACATGTACCGGAGTTATGTAATCAGAGTACAAATTATGAGTAACTGTATTCAGTTACAGTTACTGTTTCCAGTGAGTGGTAATTGGATTACAGTTACTTTGTTGAAATAAATGGATTACATGGAGGTATTTTCCTGTTTTCACATTTTGGGCTAAACAAGCACTAAACCAGAACTAAAACCAGGACTAAAAACAGAACTAAAACCAGGACTAAACCAGGACTAAAACCAAAACTAAAACCAGGGCTAAACCAGCAGTAAACCAGGACTAAACTCTGTCTAAACCAGGTCTAAAACCAGGACTAAAACCAGCACTAAACTAGGATTAAAACCAGCACTAAACCAGGACTAAACCAGGACTAAAACCAGGTCTAAACTAGGACTAAACTAAGATTAAAACCAGCACTAAACCAGCACTAAACCAGGACTAAAACCAGCACTAAACCAGGACTAAAACCAGCTCTAAACCAGGACTAAACCAGGACTAAAACCAGCTCTAAACCAGGACTAAAACCAGCTCTAAACCAGGACTAAACCAGGACTAAACCAGGACTAAACCAGGACTAAACCAGGACTAAAACCAGCACTAAACCAGGACTAAACTAGGATTAAAACCAGCACTAAACCAGGACTAAAACCAGCACTAAACCAGGACTAAAACCAGCACTAAACCAGGACTAAAACCAGCACTAAACCAGGACTAAACTAGGATTAAAACCAGCACTAAACCAGCACTAAACCAGGACTAAAACCAGCACTAAACCAGGACTAACCCAGGGCTAAAATCAGGACTAAAACCAGTACTAAAACAGGACTAAACCAGGACAAAACCAGGACTAAACCAGGACTAAAACCAGCACTAAACCTGGACTAAACTAGGACTAAAACCAGGTCTAAACTAGGACTAAACTAATACAATATGACACCTAACAGTAAAGTGGACATAATTGTGATCTCATATATAAAGCATTTCTCTATCAATAATATTTTTTATGTGGTCAAGTAAAGACTGAACGAACAAGAATTTTCAGGATGTGGTTGGTAAGTTCATGTAGTTTTAAAAAAAAAACAGGACAATATCAAGTAATCCAAAGTATTCAGATTACGTTACTCACTTTAAGTAATTTAATGGAGTACGTTACAAACTACATTTTGAGGTATGTAATCTGTAATCTGTAGAGGAATACATTTTAAAAGTGACCTTCCCAACACTGTTCACGACACAGAAGAGAATGAAACGCTTGCTCACTTGTTCTGAGGAGAGAAGAGGAAGACAGACCAGTCCTCTCGGGTTTCACACCAGTCTGGTTTGTAAGCCTCCAGCATCTTCTGGATCCTGAAACACAGGCTCTGCAAACACAGCACACGAACAGTCAGCCGGGACATACGCTCGGCAAAGTCGGGCGCAGATCGCACACGACGTCACGGCCAAACACGCTGACAGAGAGTTGGAACACAGCGCAATTCGGCGATGCGTTTTCAGTTTTCTGTTTGAATTGAGCTGTTTAGGCAGGATTTTGAAAGATCTGTTTAGTTTAGTTTTAATCAGCAAAACGTGTGATGTGAAATTGAGTGCGTGCGTGATAGGGTTGTTAAAAGTATCAAAAATCTGATACTAATAGATAACAAAAGTAGTCTCGAAGGTTAAAGGTGCACTAACTTTTCTTGCGGAAGTGTCAGAATAATTTTATTATCCCATATTTGCTAAATACTTGTGTGATATTCTAGGCCTATGAGTTAACCATTTATGTACTACAATTCTTTGATTAATAATGTACCAATCACTTGTATGAAAATGAATAACCTCTGTGTGTTTGACAACTGTGTGCAGTGTCCTATCGCTCTAGTGAACCTCGAGATGATTCCTCACATGAAGCCAACTCCCACTGTCACACATGCAAGAGTTATGATGGTGTCTGTCCAAACCTAAGGCACCTCCTGATTGTTAATCATGTTTTATGTGTTTATACTATGCGTAGCTGCATCAGTTTCTTATTATGTCTTTGCTGGTTTCCCCTTCCCCTTGAGAATTATCATTCTGTAACTAGGGCCTCCAAATGAAATAAAAAGAGGAGAGCGGCCTTGAGTCATCAGAACGTGTGGAGACTGTTGGTTTTGATGCCCACTCTCTGCCCGTTCTCCTCGCGAGTAAAACTGAATTAATCTCTTGTCTTTCTTCTTGTTTATAATGTTTAGATAAACCTAACAGGAAGGTACGCCACACCGAATCTCCGTGGGGATATTGTTTTGCTTTGCTAAGAATGTTCCACTGTATGGCATTAAACCATTGGCTCTTAGGGGTGTAACGGAACATGTATTAATGCCGAACCGTTTTGGTACAGAACGTTCGGTTCGGTGCAGGGCTGTGCACGAGAAAGTTTGCTCATTTTGTTTGTGTTTACATTCCGCCACTACATGTGCAGCTACACGGAAGGCTTTAACATTCACGACGGAACTCATCCATGATTGGGTTGGCAGTGTTTCCCGCAGCGCTTTATAGTTAGGGCCTTGACAATAATTCAATGACAATAATAATAACAATTTTTTTTTTCAAATTCTGTTCTTTTTACTGTTTTAAAGGCCCTATATTGTGCAAAATTGGCACCTCTGAGCTTTAAGCCATGATGGAATATTGTTACCTCCTCCTGTTTCATTCACACATGTTTGAGTAACTCTTTATTATTAGTCTGACTACATCTCCAAAGCTCAAAATGCTCTGTTCCACCTTGTGATGTCATGTAGTAGTGGTTTTCAACATACTTACTTCTAGTTCAAAAGGATGGGCAGGGCTGAGGTCATGTAAATGATTCTAATGAAGGTGTTTGGAGTTCAAAAACACAGTGGAACACTACAAACCAGGACTGAACCAGGATTATAACAGGACTGAATCAGAAATGAACCATGGATGGATAGGTTGTAGATGTATCCAGGACTCTACCAGGACTGAACTAGGACTCAGCCGGGACTCAATTAGGACAGAGCCAGGACTGAGCAAGGACTAAACTAGGACTGAACTAGGACTAAACCAGGACTGAACTAGGACTCAGCCGGGACTCAATTAGGACAGAGCCAGGACTGAACTAGGACTGAACCACAACTGAACTAGGACTAAACCGGGACTGAACTAGGACTGAACTAGGACTGAACTAGGATTAAACTAGGATTAAACTAGGATTAAACTAGGACTAAACTAGGACTAAACTAGGTATGAAGTAGGACTCAACCAGGACTGAACTAGGATTAAACTAGGACTGAACTAGGATTAAACTAGGACTGAACTAGGATTAAACTAGGACTAAATTAGGACTGAACTAGGTATGAAGTAGGACTCAACCAGGACTGAACTAGGATTAAACTAGGACTGAACTAGGATTAAACTAGGACTGAACTAGGATTAAACTAGGACTAAATTAGGACTGAACTAGGTATGAAGTAGGACTCAACCAGGACTGAACTAGGACTAAACCAGGACTGAACTAGGATTAAACTAGGACTAAACCAGGACTGAACTAGGATTAAACTAGGACTAAACTAGGACTGAACTAGGACTGAACTAGGATGGAAAGACTTATCCATCCATTTGTAGATAGAACTAGACCAGATCTAACTCATCCCTGCTTGAGTTTACCATTACCACATAACATCACAAGGAGTATTTTCCGTCCCGCTGCCTAAATATGCAGGATTTGTATGTTAAACATGTCTGAACGAAACAAAAGACAACTCTGGCTATGTTTCTGATGAGGACCCAACATTATAACCTTTAAAAAAACTGGCGCAGGTTAATATCAAGTATCAGCCAATACTTAAAAGTACTGATATCTGGACAGAAAAAGTTGGATTGGCGCATCCTTACTCAATTATACTTAAAGGTTGTATGGAGGATTTTTTTTTTGTTTCAAATTGTCAGTGAAAGTTTAAAATACCATTACAGAGATGCAGCAGCTTTGTAATTATGATGACCAAAAAAAAAAAAAAGAATGAAAATCGATCAACTGTGGACGTGTTGAGGCCAGATAAACATCAGCCAATAGATAACCAGGCTACCTCATTTTCTATTGGCTGTTAGGTTGTCAGTCAAACTTCCTACGTTTCTAGTGTAACTGACTCGCCGGCGCGCGGGGATTATGTAGTTTATGGAGCGGTTCTTAGAGGCGTTTTCTAACTGTATCTTCCTCGCAATTCGCACAGTTTTTCGCGATGTCGGACGAGAATCCGCGACCGGTTCGCCGCAAAAGAAAGTCCGTTTTTGAGGTCGATGAAAGAAGAAGAGAAGGGGAAAAGGAGCAAAGCCAAACTGAGGTGATTCTTGGAGATTCCTTCCAGCGACGGCGCGAACGAAGCAGACGAAATGTCTAAAAAATGACGTGTCGGTCGCTAAATTATTTCCAGACAGGTCACTTCAACAGTAATTCTGAACGCGCACTGGCTGTAAACAAGCGTGATTTCTAGAGTAAAGAGGCGGGAGGAGATGTTTCTACTGAGAGAGCTGTGGAGGAGGAAGGTGGTGTCACGCATGCACAACATCTGAAAAAGGAGTGTCGCTGTATGTTTTTTCCCCTTAAAAAATCCTCTATACAACCTTTAAATACTACGCACACCTGCTCAGTATTATGCACTCTCTTATTACCCGGAAAAATCCTTTACAATATCTTATCCGTAGTATCCACTTGTGTGTATAGAGCCTAAATGATTAGCGCAGCACAAACACACGTCGAGTGAAGGCTGGGAGCATCTGGGCACAGTGCCATCTGCGCAGCCTCACCCCTGCTGTCTGAAGAGCGCTCTCTAATTAGCCTTGTTTTTCACATACGCACGCGTGTTTACAATGGAGACAATAGGATCCCCCAGAGGCCCAGGTGACAGCCACGGCAGCCGATACAGAAAACACTCGAGCGGCCACACAAGGGACGACAGCCATGGTATGTAACAGTGTTGTACAAACTAACATGTCACAGGGAAACATGTGCGTCTTCCCCTTTTGTTCAAACGCTTCAAGGAGCTGTACTTGATCGAAAAACAGAACGAGTTCATTTTAAAAGGTTTGCAGAGGTCCAAAGTTATTCCTCACTTACCTTATGCATCCAAAACTAGTGCTGTCAAGAGATTTTTTTAAAATTGAGAGATTAATTAATTATGATCTGTAATTAATTAATCTCTTTTTTAATCTCACCTAAAAATTGCTGAGAAAAGCCTTCAACTTGAGGTATTTTCATTTGAATTCATTATTACATTATTTTCATACTATCATTAACGTTTTTATATAAGAATCATCATTATTACTATTATTAATCTGCATAAATAAACTCAACTTTACAACATGTAAACCACCACCACTCTAGAACCACATCAGCCCGTTTGAGTTTATAATGTGTTTAATGCAGTTTTGCGCAAGTCTCACAGAATCTAAATTTAAAACCACATGGCTAATTTGCATAAACTAAGCGGAAGAAGAAAAAAAAACGGTCTTGTGTGCTGATGTGGTTCAGCTTCTACTAAAGGACACGACTCAGTGGAATATAGATGTTCTCTCTGTGACAGAGGGATGTTGATGGTTAAGGTGAGTCTGTTCTGTGTTTGTGTCGTGATGTTTTCAGAGATCAGACGTGTGCAGGTTTTTCGCAGATGCGGACGAGAACGGGAATGAAAATTAGACTACAGTTCCTTGCGGGAGCGAGCAGAGCAGAACTGCACAGTGCGGGACTGTGTCCTAAAAACACATAAAAACAGATTTTATAATAAGGCAACATGCATACAGAAACTGTAAATTTAGAGATTAAAAATGAGATTAACACGATTAAAAAACATAACGCTAAACATGACTGTAATTAATTAATCGCAATTAACGCGATAATTTGACACCCCTATCCAAAACGTCCTAATTATTCACAGTGATGTGTTTATAGTGCATTTTACAACTCTTACAGATCAATCAAGAGTTACTTATACAATATACTTCTGCTGGGGCAAGATGCTGGTTTAATAAGAGACTATATATATTATAATATAAATAAAAATATATATACATTTTGCTGAACTACATGGGGGAAAAAATCTGCTACAGGACCTTTAACAATTCCTGTATTATTTAATCAAGTTGTCTAGTTTGGACCTATTTTTTCAGCTTTGGAGAGGTAAAGTTTGGGAACTCGCTCCCAATCATTTTTCTAGATCAGTTACCGTATTTTCCGGGCCATTAGGTGCTCTGGATTATAAGGCGCACTGTCATTAAATGGTCTATCTTCAAACTTTTTTCACAAATAAACCGCTCTGGACTTTAAACGAAACACAACAGTTGGATGGGTCAGTGGTTTTGTTTGTTTGTGGCGTTCACGGTGACTCTGGGCTTTGTTCAGTTGTGGCGTGTAGGGAGGGTGCTGTCTGGGACCGCTGGATTGTCAGCGTGTTCGCAGTGACTCGGTTGTTCAGTCGTGTCTAGAAGTGGCACATTGGACTCGCTTTTTCGGTTCATTCCTTTGTTCCGTTCCTCGTCTGCGTGGAGTGATGAGTGTGGCTGTGGGTGCGTTTCGCTGTGCAGTCGCTGTCTGCTCCCTGGTTGTTTGCGTGCAGCTGGTGCGGCTTTGTAGTTTACTGAAGTCGTGCTGGGACACCCGAGTGGATTCGTGTATAGGGCGCTCTGGATTGCAGGGCACGCAGTCGTTTTTTGACGGGGTTAGAGGCTTAAGAGCGTGGAAAATAGCCCAGAAAATACGGTACTCTCAAACGTTTCATACCAAGTTCCACCAAATAAAAGATTTAGCGTTCTGCGATGTAAACCAGGTCTATAACAAGACAAGGTCTAGTCTAGGGCTTTACCACATATAAAGTGGACTATATCGTTTCTACTGTAGTTCTAAACAAGAAATTATCCAGAGAAAGAGAAAATGTAGATGAAATGAGCCCTAAATAAGGCAAACCCACAAACTGAAGAGCTCTCCAAGGACGACCTAAAGAAGCTTACATACCACAGTTAGAGAAACACTGTTCTAGATGACAGGGTTTTTTTATACTAGGGTTGTCAAAAGTATTAAAAATCACATAATAATCGATACTAAAACACGTATGGAAACTAGATACTAACAATATGAACACGTATCATTACTGAACAAGTCCCATTCACAGGACAGAAATGAACCTTTTCTGAATCGCTTAAGAATAATCTTGAGCTGTATCAGAACAACTATAAGAGCACATAGACTAGTATACGCACATGGAGCACTGAGGAACTTACCTGGACCACTGAGATACACAGATATAAGACCACGTGTGAATATAAAAGAAAGTACAATTTACGGAGTTGAAAGTGAGATTCTACTGTCTAAGTCAGGGGTCACCAAACTTTTTCCTCGGGGGAGGCCACATTATTGCATGTGACTTTGATTGGGGGTCGGAGTAGTGTCGGCCGATGAAGGAATACATGCTGTTGAGCAACCTGCACGCCTTTCATTCCACCGAATCCTATCTTCTCTCGTTTGCCTTCGCAAGTGACGACGCAGATTATATTTGTGATGACAACGCAGATTATATTCTTTGAAAACCTCCACACTTTCTTTATATATAAGACAAACTGCACGGTCCTCACACTGAACAAAAAAATAATGGGTCGTCCACTGTTCTTCGAAAACTCTGCAATCTCTGTCAACTTTTCGTACTTTAACACGAATCATTTTGCTGTCTTTAACTGCACTACAGAACTCTGCACGCATGTTGACTGTCACTGTTTGATCTCGAGCTTGTCAGGTGACGAAAATTCAAAAGGTAAATGCATCATATAATTATTTAAATATAAATACTTCATATAAATATAATTTTTTTAATTGAAAGAACAACAAAATACAGGATGCAGACATGTTACTATTTGCCAAAAAGTCATTTTAAGAAATAGGCCATGACAACTTTTGAGGACTGCCTCATAGGGCCATTTCAGTGGTGGGGGCAGAGGGTCTGGGGGGACGGTGAAAGGGGCGTGGCCTTAGTTTGATGACCCCTGATCCAAGTAAAGAGCGTTTGGTTTTGTGGTATCAAAATCGGAGTCTGTTCCTTAATACTGAAATCGAGTTTGACACTATCGTATACTCACGTATTCGATATCGTCGTCCATGTCCTCTCGGTCCTTGGTGCGGGCGTTGACCTGGGGGTAGACCTCGGTGCGGAGCTGGTTGTGGGCGTGGCTCGTGGCTCCGCGGTCCCCGCCCCCCCTCCCCGTGTGGTCGCTATGGTGACGTGTGGAGCTGTGTGGGAGCTGGGACAGAGGGGTTTTTCCATTGCAGTCCTGGTGCAGTCTCTCCCCAGAGAAGCTGATCTGTCTGTGGGAAGCACAAGCAGGGATGGGTTAGATCTGGTCTGGGTCTGTCCGTGCTGGTTTAGTCCTGGTTTAGTCCTGATTTAGTCCTAGTTCAATCCTGGTAAAGCCCTGGATACATCTACAACCTATTCTTCCATGGTTCAGTTCTGATTTAGTCCTCTTTTAATCCTGGTTTAGTCCTGGTTCAGTCTTGATTGAGTGCTGGTTCAGTCCTGGTATAGGTCTGGTTTAGATCTGGTTTAGTCCTGGTTCAGTTCTGGTTTAATCCCAGTTCAGTCTTGGACACATCTACAGTCTACCCATCATGGTTCAGTCCTGGTATTGTCTTTCTTCAGTCCTGATTCAGTCCTGCTTCAGCCTTGATTTAGTCCTGGTTCATCCCTGGTTTAGTCCCGGTTCAGTCCTGGTTCAGTCCTGGTTTAGTTCAGGACATATTTACAGCCTATTTGTCCAGGTTCAGGTCAGGTTTAGGCCTGATTCAGTCTTGGTTCAATCATGGTTCAGTCTTGATTCAGGTCTGGTTTAATCCCGGTTCAGTCTTGGACACATCTACAGTCTGTCCATCTTGGTTTAGTCCTGGTTTCGTCTTTCTTCAGTCCTGATTCAGTCCTGCTTTAGTCCTGGTTGAGTCCTGGTTCAGTCCTGCTTTAGTCCTGGTTCAGTCCTGGTTCAGTTCTGTCCACACGCTTGCAGAGTGTCTAAGTGGCTTGCAGCGCTCTGGGACAGTTTTCCATTTGCTTTGTGGTTAATCTACTTGCCTGTTTGACCAGCGACTGTTTCCCTGTTTGATTTTCTAATTATTTTTGGTTAAATCAACACTTTTGTGAAACCCTGTGAGGCGACTGCTGTTTTTGGGCAGATTTTGGGCTCTATAAAAACAGCTGAAATTGAAATGTATTGGTATCTACACAATAAAGAACAGTGAGTCCCTGAAAACTTTTCAGATTAGATTCAGTAAAACATTTCTGACAGTTATATTATAGCTGTATATACTTTTTACTTTTTCCTAATAGTTGAAATAACAGTGTGTCCCATTAGAATTAGATCTATCTGGACTCCGTGTACTTTTTAGCTATTTATGGTTAAAGTTTTGACATTTGTACAGCAGAAATAAAAGAGGGGATGCACTTATTTGATTCTTGGGATGGTACAAGATCTCGTGAGACAAAACCGCAACAAGATCGTGCACACATGAGAAAAATTATCCTGTGAGAATTTTTTCCACGTGTTTTACATTTGAATTAGACAAAAAAGGGTTACGTGTTGGCGAGTTACATTTCTTAGACCCCGTTTACACTAAAACAAATCCGCCTATGACCAGTGTTTGGAAGATTACTTTTAAAATGTATTCCCCTACAGATTACAGATTACATACCCCAAAATGTAATTTGTAACGTAATCTATTTAATTACTTAAAGTGAGTAACGTAATCTGAATATTTTGGATTACTTGATTTGCTGTAGAGTAACAAAGACTAGGAAATCTTCACATAAGATGTTTTGTTTGCTAAAAGAAAATGAAAAGGCCGAGTCTTTATTTAACCGTATTAAAAATATTACTGATAGAAGAGGAGGAGACACGGTCCACGCGGCATGGTTTAGTCCTGTTAAATCCTGTTTTAGACCTGGTTTAGACCTGGTTTAGGCCTAGTTTAGACCTAGTTTAGACCTAGTTTAGACCTGGTTTTAGACCTGGTTTTAGACCTGGTTTAGTCCTGGTTTTAGCCCTGGTTTAGTCCTGGTTTAGCCCTGGTTTAGTCCTGGTTTTAGACCTGGTTTAGACCTGGTTTAGTCCTGGTTAAGTCCTGGTTTAGACCTAGTTTAGACCTAGTTTAGACCTGGTTTAGAAGTTTAGTCCTGGTTTAGTTTAGACCTGTTTAGACCTGGTTTAGCCCTGGTTTAGTCCTGTTTTAGACTGTTTAGACCTGGTTTAGTCCTTAAGTCCTGGTTTAGACCTAGTTTAGACCTAGTTTAGACCTGGTTTTAGCCCTGGTTTAGTCCTGTTTAGTTTAGTCCTGGTTTTAGACCTGGTTTAGACCTGGTTTAGTCCTGGTTTAGTCCTGGTTTAGACCTAGTTTAGACCTGAGTTTAGACCTGGTTTTAGCCCATTTAGCCTGTTTAGTCCTGGTTTAGCCCTTTAGTCTGGTTTTAGACCTGGTTTAGACCTGGTTTAGTCCTTTAGTCCTTTAGACCTAGTTTAGACCTGGTTTAGACCTGGTTTTACCTGGTTTAGTCCTGGTTTAGACCTAGTTTAGACCTGAGATCTAGTTAGACCTGGTTTTAGCCCTGATTTAGCGTCGTTTAACCCTGGTTTAGTCCTGGTTTAGCCCTGGATTAGTCTGGTTTTAGACCTGGTTTAGACCTGGTTTAGTCCTTGTTAGTCCTGGTTTAGACCTAGTTTACACCTAGTTTAGACCTGGTTTAGAACTGGTTTTAGTCCTTTAGTCCTGTTTAGACCTAGTTTAGACCTGGTTTACCTGGTTTAGTCCTGTTTAGACCTGGTTTAGACCTGGTTTAGTCCTTGTTAAGTCCTTTAGACCTAGTTTAGACCTTTAGACCTGGTTTAGCCCTGGTTTAGTCCTTTAGTTTAGTCCTGTTTTAGACCTGGTTTTAGACCTGGTTTAGTCCTGGTTAAGTCCTGGTTTAGACCTAGTTTAGACCTGGTTTTAGACCTGGTTTTAGTCCTGGTTTAGTCCTGGTTTAGACCTAGTTTAGACCTAGTTGAGATCTAGTATAGACCTGGTTTTAGCCCTGATTTAGCCGTCGTTTAACCCTGGTTTAGTCCTGGTTTAGCCCTGGATTAGTCTTGGTTTTAGACCTGGTTTAGACCTGGTTTAGTGTCCGGCAATGAGTGGAATTACCAAGAAAAAAAGAAAAAAAAAATGTTTCTGTGTCCGCAAGTCTTCCCTATCCACACAGCTTTGAGCATATTTGTTTACATTTTACAGAAACGAAATTTAAAATTGCATGGCTAATTTGCATAAACGAAGCACTCAAAAAACAGCTCGCTAATGTGCGCCGATGTGGTTCAGCTTCTGTTGGACTAAAGGACACGACTCAGTGGAATATGAGTGTTCTTTCTGTGACAGAGGGGTGTTCTGCTGATGGTGAGTCTGTTCTGTGCTTCTATTGCGTTGGAGACGGTTCACGTTAAACTTTTCAGAGATTATAGATCTGCAGGTCATATGAATGGACATATATATTAGCCTCTTAATGTTTTGGTGGTGAATTACTTCTCGGCGCATAGACCTACATCAGAGTATCAGCGTTTTCAGATGTCCGCAAAGTGCTGGATCAGATCTGGACTCAGATGAATTCGTGGGAGCTGGCGGCACCAGATCGTTCCGTCTCTAGAGCCATTTTCAATCGGAATAGTGTGAACGAACACTGCATCCGCAACGAAAACGATACAAATACGTACTAGTGTGGACGGGGCCTTAAACAGTTCCAAAAAGCAGTGCCAGAATGGAAACAAAAATATGAAATCAAATAAATACAAAATTGTAAGGTCAAAACTGGAAACTGAATCATAAATTTATATGTCAAGAATTATGATAAAATCTCGTTTTGTCTGGTTCTCGTATCTCATCTTGTCTTGCGGAAAACGTGTCTCGTTGATACGTAGGCATAAAGGACACCCTCAGGAGAGTCTAAATTGAGAAAATCTAATTTATGACATTTGTCACAGTGTGTTCTGGGAAGTGTTCTGGGAAGTGGTTTTTCGCAGAACCTTTTAATTCTAAAAGTCAAATGTGACAAATTTTGACAACATTTAACTTGTGAATTTGAAACTGGTATTTTAAAGGCAGTTGATGTCAGTTTTTTCATATTATCAACTGTTACCCTTTACACAATGGCTGGAAGTGTAGTGTAAACGTCACTCCCAGTTAATGCTTTTCTATGGTAAAATATTTGTGTAAATGTCTCATGTATTTTCCACCAGCTTCATAAATCATAAATCACCAAATCTTCATCCAACAAGGTCAACAAAAAAACATATTTTGTCCATGAAGACTTTATGCACAACTATCAAGGTAAGAAAGATGAAAACTTAAAGGTGAACAATGTCGAGCAAAACTAAAGTTATGGTTAAAGGTTGTATAGAGGATTTTCCAAGGAACGAGAAATCCAGCGACTGTTTGTCCTTTTTCAAATGTTGCGCATGCGTGAAACCACCCCCCCTCCCTACAGCTCCTACGTAGAAACGCCTCCTCCGCCTCCTCGTTACGCCAGAAACAGGTTTGTTTACAGCCGGTGCTGCACATGACTTGTAAACAACTAACTACAGTGTTGGTTAGGCAAGACGGAGAAGTGAGGAGCGGGGGGAGGGGTGCGCGGACATTTCGTGCGCGGACGAGAAGTGAGGAGCAGTGAGAAGAGCGGAGCAGGGAGAGAGGAGAGAGAGAGAGAGGAGAGGAGAGGAGAGAGGGGAGCGGTGAGTGGAGATTCCGTGCCCGGAGAAGTGCGGAGCAGGGGGAAGAGTGGAACGGGCAGCGGGGACAGGAGCAGGAAAGGGGAGCAGAGAAGGTTGCGCGGAGATTCAGTGCGAATGAACTAGCTACAACACGCAGCAGCAAGCGGACTCTTTCTTTGCATTGAAAATTACGTTTTCAGACATAGGATATCGCATTCGTGTCCTGAAAAACGTTTGACTAGCTCTTGGAAATAAAGTAAGTTTTCATAATAAGCAGAAGTTTCCTGTCCAGGAGTAATTTGTGGACCAGTGCGTCAGTCTTTAGACCCTGCGTCTGCTTCAGTCGCGCCATTGCTGGAATGAATCTTCAAGAATCACCTTAGTTTGGCTTCGCTGCTTTTCCCCTTGTCTTCTTCTTTCAGCGACCTCAAAAAACGGACTTTCTTTTGCGGCGAACTGCTCCTGGATTCTTGTCGCCATTGCAACAAACTTTGTGCGAACTGCGAGGAAGATATAGGTCAAAAAAAGCCGCTAAGAACTGTTGCGTTGGTGGAGTAAACAGCGTCTGTGCGTCTTGCGTCTGTGGACTGCGTGACAGGTGAACGTAAACCACGTACCGGCGGCGCAGGCAAGTCAGTTACGCTAGAAACGTAGGGAGATTGATTGACAGCCTGTCAGCTCACAGATAACGAGGCAGTGTCGTTATCTATTGGCAAATGTTTAGCCCCAAAACGTCCAGAGTTGATGAATTTTTATTCTCTTTTTTTTTTGGTCATCATAATTACAAGGCTACTGCATCTCTATAATGCTATCATTGATAATTTGAAACCAAAAAAAATCCTCCATACAACCTTTAAGTAATTCAATGGTAAGTAACTTATGAACTCAGACTGATTCTAGAAATAAAATTTAAAATGGGTTTCATGATGTAGATATTGGCATAGACAGAGATTTGTGCAGTTTGAATGCTACAGATGTTGCACAGATTACATGTCAAGCATTTAAACTGCACAAATCTCTGTCTATCTACATCATGAAATCGATTTTTAATTTGAATTCTAGTATCAGTCTGAGTTCACAAGTTACTTATGTTTTATTCATGACCATAACGTTAGTTTTGCTCAGAAGTAGTTCACTAATGCTCGTGAAAGTTTTCGTCTTTCTTACCTTGATAGTTGTGGATAAATTCTTCATGGACAGAATATGCTGGATGAAAATTTGGTGATGGGGCAGATTTATGAAGCTTGGTGGAAAGTATGCGAGATATTTTCACAGATATTTTGCCATCTGAAAGCATTAACCGGAGGTGATGTTTACCCTACTATTGACTGTGATTGGTCATTTTAAATGTATTCTGTGTTCTGATTGGTTCAGGTCCACAGATAGAATCTTATAACCTCAAGTGAATCTTCAGAATTGCAGATAGAACCGTCTGTTTTTGCTCATAAAATCCTCAAACTCCATAGAATTTTGATTTAGTGCACAGTTAGACATCCAGGAACAATGAAATATGAATAACTCAGCTTCAACCAAAATTCGAGATAGAACATTTTGACATTCTGTACCCACCTCTGTGCATATGGGTTTGGCAGAGTGGTTAGCACTTGGTCTGGCACTTGCAGCAGGTTTGGAAGTTCTAGGGACAGTGCTCTGCGATCTCTCCTGGGCCCCAGCTGCCCCGACAGCAGGGGCGGGGACAGGTGGTGGAGGGAGGGCGGCGACAGCAGCGACTCCTCCTCTTCCTCGTCCTGTCGACCGCGCGGGACGTGTCGGTGCGGGGAGGAGGACGCTCGGGGCCCGCGGATCCGCAAACTCCCGCCCATGACGTTGCCGGGGCCGTAGCCGTAGCTGTAGATGAGCTTCGGGGTGGAGGTGGGGGTGGGGTTCGGCGTGTAGGCGGGGCTAGAGGAGGGCGAGGAGGCGGAGCACGGTCTGACTCCGCCCATGCTGTTCCAGCTGGCGCGGCGGGCCCAGAGGTGCTGATGGTGAGGGGGGAGCGGGCGACCCCAGTTGTGGTAACCTCGGCCTGGATACTGAGGAGCGGAGAGATACTGATTAGTCATCTATTCATTAAAGGCGCACTATGGAACTTTTCTGGTGGATGTTTCATTACTTGATTATTTCCATGGATATTGCTTTGTCTAGAATGTTCCACAATAAGATTAATGCCATAATCAAACTATTCTATCGCCATGGAAACAAGCAGGGAGCTCCACCAAACCATCTGATCCAGGTTTTTTGCTTTTTTAACACTTCTTTTACAGATCTACACACTAGAGAAACAAATAAAAACTACTTATACGTGCACTATGTAACTTTTCTAGTTTCCTTGGAGATGTTATTGCTTTGCTTGGATTGTTCCACAGTATGGCATTAAAGTTATCCATTTCCATGTCATAAATTACTGGTGTTTTTATTGCTCAAAATGTCTTGGAAAATCTTTTGTATGTGTGTTCCCCATTGTGTGTGTTTTTTTGTTTTTTTTTTTGTATCTGTTTTATATTTAATGTTATATTTATTTTATTTTATTATATTTATATTTATTTATTTTTGTTGTCATTATTTGGCTATTTTATTTACATATGTTTCTTTTATGTAAATCATATAGAATGTGAATTTAAACTTATTGATTTAATTGTATTTATTTAATTTATATTACTTTATTGTATTTTATTATTACAGTGTATTTTAATGATTATCTGGCACCAACGGTGAGCTTGTCCTTGTTATCTTTATTTATTTATTATTTGGAGTGTGTGTTCTAAATTAAAAATATCGATAAATTAAGTTGTAAAAAAAAAAAGAAAGAAAGCAAGAAAGAAAAGTTATTGGCGAAATTGTGTAACTGTAAATGTTAAGGTACTGTAACTGATCAAATAAACCCTAAAAAAAAAAAAAAAAAAGTCTTGGAAAAATTGAAAAAAAAATTATATTGTGAGGGGGTCGCCTCTCAACAGATCTGACCTGTAACTTGGCCATATTGACATCATAGACTTGTCTTCACAGAGAGATAAGTTAAATGCCATACGGTGGAACATTCCAGGCAAAGCAATAACATTTCCATGGAGACAATATGGCTGCGGACCCTGCTCCAGAAAAGTTACACAGTGCACCTTAAAATTAAAACATTTTTATGAATAGTTTTGACTTGTTTAGAATAATTAGTGCTGAATTACTACTTTAAAGGTGCATTGTGTAACTTTTCTGACAAAGAAACAACAGAAATATGGCATTAAACCTTTCTATCTTCATGGAGACCAAACCAGACCAAGTTACAGGTCAGATCTGTGGAGAGGAGAACCCGCTCACAGTCAGAATGCCTGTTTTTCTAGGTATTTTTGAGCTGTAAAACCACTTGTAATCGAATAAATGTAAAGTAGAACTGTGGAACATTCCAAGCCCAACAATGACATACCCATAGAAACAACTTATTTTTCATTTTTGAGTTTTTTTTTTACCGGCAGAATCCTCTTTTGTGTTTCATTTTGGACTCAGCTCTTACCACAGCTCTCTGGTCCAGATTGCAGAGAGAGATGACGCTGTTTTTGCGGGAGTTCAGGGCGTAGGTCCACTTGTCTCCGGGGAACAGGCCGGGGGGCAGGGCTGACACGTCCAGGTGACCGTTCGGGGTCAGAGTGCAGATCTTTGGGTCTGGAAGCAAAAGGAACGAAAGAAGAATGTGGAATTTAGTCGGAAAGGCGCACAGTCACATTTATATAGTGCTTTTCTACGTGCAGTGGACACTAAAAAAGAGCGGCAGGTAGAGTAGCCAAGAATTGTACTCAAGTAATTGTGATGGTACTTTAAAATAATATTACTTAAAGGTTGTATAGAGGATTTTTTAAGGGAAAAAAACATACAGCGACAGTCCTTTTTCAGATGTTGTGCATGCGTGACACCACCTTCCTCAGTAGAAACATCTCCTCCCGCCTCTTTACTCTAGAAATCACGCTTGTTTACAGCCAGTGCGCGTTCAGAATTACTGTTGAAGTGACCTGTCTGGAAATAATTTAGCGACCGACACGTCATTTTTTTAGACATTTCGTCTGCTTCGTTCGCGCCGTCGCTGGAAGGAATCTCCAGGAATCACCTCAGTTTGGCTTTGCTCCTTTTCCCCTTCTCTTCTTCTTTCATCGACCTCAAAAACGGACTTTCTTTTGCGGCGAACCGGTCGCGGATTCTCGTCCGACATCGCGAAAAACTGTGCGAATTGCGAGGAAGATACAGTTAGAAAACGCCTCTAAGAACCGCTCCATAAACCACATAATCCCCGCGCGCCGGCGAGTCAGTTACACTAGAAACGCAGGAAGTTTGACTGACAACCTAACAGCCAATAGAAAATGAGGTAGCCTGGTTTTCTATTGGCTGATGTTTATCTGGCCTCACTACGTCCACAGTTGATCGATTTTCATTCTTTTTTTTTTTTTTTTTGGTCATCATAATTACAAAGCTGCTGTATCTCTGTAATGGTATTTTAAACTTTCACTGACAAATTGAAACAAAAACAAAAAATCCTCCATACAACCTTTAAGTAGAAGTACAAAGTAGTACTCAAGTAACTTAAAGAGGAACTGTTGGGACACCTGATATATGATTTAAAGTTAATGTAATTGGAAAGATAAAACATTAAATAATCTTAAATTTCCCTTGGAATCAATAAAGTATTTATCTGTCCGCCCGTCCATCTGTCTGTCCATCTATCCATCTCTCTCTCACTGTCTATCACTCTCTTTGTCTCTCTATCTTTCTCTCTGATTATCTCTCTTTCTCTCTCTCTCTCTCTCTCTCTCTGTTTCTCTCTCTCTATTTCTTTCTGTTTGTCTCTCTCTGTCTACCGCGCTCTATGTCTCTCTATCTTTCTCTGATTATCTCCTTCTCTCTCTCTCTCTCTCTCTGTCTATCTCTGTCTCTCTGTCTCTTTCTGTCTGTCTCTCGCTGTTTCTCTCTCTCTGTCTATCTCTCTTTCTATCTATCTCCCTCTGCCTCTTTCTATTTCTATCTCTCAATCTCTGCCTCTTTCTCTCTATCTCTCACTCTCTGCTCTCTCTGTTTATCTTGCTCTCTGTCTATCTCTGCCTCTTTCTCTCTATCTCTTACTCTGTCTCTTTCTGTCTCTCTGTGTCTTTCTCTCTCTGTCTGTCTCTCACTCTCTGCCTCTCTCTGTTTATCTTGCTCTCTCCCTCTATCTCTGTCTCTTTCTGTCTATCTCGTGCTCTTGGTTTCTCTCTATCAGTCTCTCTGTCTATCTCTCTCTCTCTCTGTCTCTCTCCCTTCCTGTTTATCTCTCTCTGTCTATCGCTCTCTTTGTCTCTCTGTCTTTCTCTCCGATTATCTCTCTCTCTTTCTCTGTCTGTCTCTTTCTGTTTATCTCTCTCTCTGTCTATCGCTCTCTTTGTCTCTCTACCGTTTTCTCTAATTAGCTGTCTCTCTCTGTCTTCTCTGTCTCTCTGTCTGTCTGTCTATTTCTCTCTCTCTCTCTCTCTTTTCTGTCTCGCTCTGTCTATTTCTCTCTCTCTATCTTGCTCTCTTTGTCTATCTCTCGATCTCTGTCTCTCTTTCTATCTATCTTGCTCTGTCTATCTCTGTCTCTTTCTGTCTATCTCGCGCTCTTTGTTTCTCTCTCTCTCTCTCTCTCTCTGTCTTTCTCCCTCCCTGTTTATCTCTTTTTATTGCTCTCTTTGTCTCTCTATCTTTCTCTCTGATTATCTCTCTTTCTCTCTCTCTCTCTCTGTTTCTCTCTCTCTATTTCTTTCTGTTTGTCTCTCTCTGTCTACCGCGCTCTATGTCTCTCTATCTTTCTCTGATTATCTCCTCTCTCTCTCTTTGTCTATCTCTGTCTCTCTCTCTCTGTCTCTTTCTGTCTGTCTTTTGCTGTTTCTCTCTCTCTGTCTATCTCTCTTTCTATCTATCTCCCTCTGCCTCTTTCTCTCTATCTCTTACTCTCTGTCTCTTTCTGTCTCTCTCTGTGTCTTTCTCTCTCTGTCTGTCTCTCACTCTCTGCCTCTCTCTGTTTATCTTGCTCTCTGTCCATCTCTGCCTCTTTCTGTCTATCTCTCGCTCTTTGTTTCTCTTTCTGTCTCCCTCTCTCTACCTTGCTCTCTTTGTCGATCTCTTGCTCCCTGTCTCTCTATCTGTCTTGCTCTCTCCCTCTATCTCTGTCTCTTTCTGTCTATCTCGTGCTCTTGGTTTCTCTCTATCAGTCTCTCTGTCTCTCTGTCTCTCTCCCTTCCTGTTTATCTCTATCTGTCTATCGCTCTTTTTGTCTCTCTATCTTTCTCTCAGATTATCTCTCTCTCTTTCTCTGTCTGTCTCTTTCTGTTTATCTCTCTCTCTGTCTATCGCTCTCTTTGTCTCTCTACCTTTTTCTCTAATTATCTTTCTTTCTCTCTCTCTGTCTCTCTGTCTAGCTCTCTGTCTGTCTCTCTATCTCACTCTATCTATCTCCCTCTTTGTTTTTCTCTGTCTGTCTCTCTATCTCACTCTCTCTCTCTCACATTCTGTCTCGCTCTGTCTATTTCTCTCTCTCTCTCACTTTCTGTCTCGCTCTGTCTATTTCTCTCTCTCTCTCTATCTTGCTCTCTTTGTCTATCTCTCGATCTCTGTCTCTCTTTCTATCTATCTTGCTCTGTCTATCTCTGTCTCTTTCTGTCTATCTCGCGCTCTTTGTTTCTCTCTCTCTCTCTCTCTCTCTGTCTTTCTCCCTCCCTGTTTATCTCTTTTTATTGCTCTCTTTGTCTCTCTATCTTTCTCTCTGATTATCTCTCTTTCTCTGTCTAGCTCTCTCTCTCTCTCTCTCTCTGTTTCTCTCTCTCTATTTCTTTCTGTTTGTCTCTCTCTGTCTACCGCGCTCTATGTCTCTCTATCTTTCTCTGATTATCTCTCTCTCTCTCTCTCTCTCTGTCTGTCTCTCTCTCTCTGTCTCTTTCTGTCTGTCTTTCGCTGTTTCTCTCTCTCTGTCTATCTCTCTTTCTATCTATCTCCCTCTGCCTCTTTCTCTCTATCTCTTACTCTCTGTCTCTCTCTGTGTCTTTCTCTCTCTGTCTGTCTCTCACTCTCTGCCTCTCTGTTTATCTTGCTCTCTGTCCATCTCTGCCTCTTTCTGTCTATCTCTCGCTCTTTGTTTCTCTTTCTGTCTCCCTCTCTTTGTCGATCTCTTGCTCCCTGTCTCTCTATCTATCTTGCTCTCTCCCTCTATCTCTGTCTCTTTCTGTCTATCTCGTGCTCTTGGTTTCTCTCTATCAGTCTCTCTGTCTATCTCTCTCTCTCTGTCTCTCTCCCTTCCTGTTTATCTCTATCTGTCTATCGCTCTCTTTGTCTCTCTCTGTCTTTCTCTCTCTCTCTTTCTCTGTCTGTCTCTTTCTGTTTATCTCTCTCTCTGTCTATCGCTCTCTTTGTCTCTCTACCTTTTTCTCTAATTATCTTTCTTTCTCTCTCTCTGTCTCTCTGTCTGTCTCTCTATCTCACTCTATCTATCGCCCTCTTTGTTTTTCTCTGTCTGTCTCTCTATTTCTCTCTCTCTTTCTCTCTCACTTTCTGTCTCGCTCTGTCTATTTCTCTCTCTCTCTCTATCTTGCTCTCTTTGTCTATCTCTCGATCTCTGTCTCTCTTTCTATCTATCTTGCTCTGTCTATCTCTGTCTCTTTCTGTCTATCTCGCGCTCTTTGTTTCTCTCTCTCTCTCTCTCTCTCTCTGTCTTTCTCCCTCCCTGTTTATCTCTTTTTATTGCTCTCTTTGTCTCTCTATCTTTCTCTCTGATTATCTCTCTTTCTCTCTCTGTGTGTCTATCTCTATATCTCTTACTCTCTGCCTCTCTGTGTCTATCTCTCGCTCTTTGCGTCTCTGTCTCTATCTTGCTCTCTCTGTCTATCTCTCTCTTTCTCTCTCTCTGTTTCTCTCTCTCTCTGTCTCCCTAGCTATCTATCTCCCTCTTTGTTTTTCTCTGTCTGTCCATTTCTCTCTCTCACTTACTTTCTGTCTCACTCTCTGTCTATTTCTCTCTTTCTCTCTATCTATCTTGCTCTTTCTGTCTATCTCTCGCTCTTTGTTTCTCTCTCTGTCTATCTCTCTCTCTATTTATCTCTCTCTCTTTCTCATATACAAAATCTGGTATTCTCTCAAAAGTCTAAAGACATAAAAAAAAAGAGACAAAATAAATCATATCTGAAGGAGCTGCAAGAAACACAAATGTTCAAATCATTTCATATTGTTACTAGTGCTGTCATGCGATTAAAAAAATTGAGAGATTAATTAATTATGATCTGTAATTAATTAATCTAATTAATCTCTTTTTAATCTCACCTAAAAATTGCTGAGAAAAGCCTTCAATTTGAGGTATTTTCATTTAAATTCATTATTACATTATTGTGGCAGATCAAAAGACTGATATAGAACAAAAAAAAAAGACTTTATAAAGTCATTTATTGTTTAACAAATCTCTCCAAATTGGCTGTTGAGCCCAAGTCTCCATGAATAAGAAACTGTTTGCTGTAAAGTAGCAAAGACGAGGAAATCTGAACATAATAACTTTTGTCTACTTAAAGACAATAAAAAGTCCAGTCTTTCCTTAACCATATTAAAAATATTATTGATAGAGAAATGCTTTATATATGAGATCACTGGTTTTAGTCCTTGTTTTAGTCCTGGTTTAGACCTGCTTTAGTCCTAGTTTAGTCCTGGAATGGATTAATCCTGGTTTTAGTTCCTGTTTTAGTTCTGGTTTTAGTTCTGGTTTAGTCCTGGTTTAGTCCTGGTTTAGTCCTGGTTTAGACCTGGTTTAGACCTGGTTTAGACCTGGTTTAGACCTGGTTTAGACCTGGTTTAGTCCTGGTTTTAGTCTTGGTGTTAGTTCTGGTTTAGAGGCTCACAGGAGGAAACGCGGTTTACGCCGCGTACGCGAGAAAACACGATCCACACGCGGCTCACGGGAGCACGTCGGTGTCCACGCAGTGTCTACGGAAGGAAACATGGTCCGCGCGTTCTCAGGTTAATGACGATGATGAAGGTGTGTGTTTGTTTGTGTGTGTGTGTTTGTGTGTGTTTGTGTGTTTGTTTGTGTTTGTGTGTTTGTGTGTGTTTGTGTGTGTTTGTGTGTGTTTGTGTGCGTGTCCCTCATGTGGCAGGTCACTATAGGACAGTAGTGCAGACATCATGAGCCTATGCAGGTTGTTTTCACCAGTGACATTTAAGTTGTAGGCGATATTATATTTGTTATTTTCTTTTATATTTCACGTCGGGAGAATAATTTCCAAGACACAAATGTGTTTTTACCTGTGCACTGCTGCCTCTGTTCTACTGGCTCTTCGACCTCGTCCATTGTGCGACTGACGCCGCCAACGTTAACATGACGTTTACATCGCTCTTACTGCGCGCGTTTTGTGTGGGTTTCCGGCAATGAGTGGAATTACCGAAATAAAAAAATTTATAAATGTGTGTTTTTGTGTGTGTGTTGTTGTCCCAACAACACATAAAAACAGGTTTTATAATAAAGCAACTCACATACAGAAACAGTAAAGTTAGAGATTAAAAATGAGATTAACGCGATTAAAAAACATAACGCGCTAAATATGACTGTAATTAATTCATCGCAATTAACGCGATAATTTGACACCCCTAATTGTCACATAAAACTTTTATCACTTCAGACTCACTCGCAGTGGGAGGAGGAAGCATAACTTTTCACTCGAGAAAGAATAATGTTACTTCAATAAAAAAATATTACTCAAGTGACATCACGAGGTGGAACAGAGTGTTTTCTGTTCCATAGAGGAACTCAGCCTAAATACAGTGTGCAGGATTTGTGTGTTAAAACGAGTGAATGAAACAAAACACAACTCCAGGTCTGTTTGTGATGAGGAAACATAGATCAGAAAACAGCACCATATGGGCCCTTTAAAGATAATGGAATGGGCAGGGAGCAGCGGGCGGGTTTATATTTTGTATTTTACGGTTTAATAAACGTTTGCATTAGCTTGAAGACATGGCGAGCTGGAGGGGACGCTGCTGTGCTCACACTCTACAAGTTTTACTGCTTTTCTGGTTGTATGGTAGTTGCAATCTAAGGCACACTGCAGGTATTAATGCTCAATTCGGACTTTTTTGTGAAATCCGATTTTTTTGTGAGGCAAGGCAAGTTTATTCGTATGGCACAATTCGTACGCAAAGTAATTCAAAGTGCTTTACAGAATAAGAAAAACACCACAATAAAAACAAATCAAAACATAAATAATCATCATAAAATTAAAGATTAAAATAAAAACATTTAAAAGAGAGAGAGACTTTAATTACATAAATTAGAGAGAAGAGTGCAGAATGAAAACCTTTCAGTCATATGCAGTTAAGCAGAACCGTTTTGAGTCTGGATTTAAACAGAGTCAAAGTCGAGTCTGTCTCACATCTTCATGAAGACTGTTCCAGGTTTTAGCTGCGTGAATCTGAAAGGCTCCACCTGTTTAGTCCCAACTCTGGGCACCAGCAGGAGGCCGGTCCTGAGCTCTGCGAGATGGTTCATATGACACTAACATGTCACAGATGGACTTTGGTGCTCGGCCATGGAGAGACTTGTACAAGCAGAGCCGCTTTAAAGTCTCTGAGCCACAGGGGCCAGAACAGACTTCTGAGCACAAGACTTATGTGCTCATACTTCCTAGTTTGAGTCAGGACCCGAGCTGCAGCGTTCTGGATGTTCTGCAGCTGTGCGGTCGTTCACATTTCCAATTAAATGCGTCTTGTATGTGATCTCCAGTGTGAACTTTAAACGCCTCAGAAGTGTCCCGCATGTGCATCAGAGGACACACAGCGAGCGTGCTCAGTGTTTACAAAAAACGCTGGGCTTGTCTCCCAAAATATGGTCCAGTTCTTCGTAAAAATGGACAGGTTACACGTCCATGGCCGCTTCGTTTGTTTGAGTCTTTAGTCTCCTTGTATTTGGCTTGCAGGCTTTTTATTTTTCATTGACATTGGAGCTAGGACTGTGTGTAGCCGCTCTCATTTCTAAAACTGCCCGTTTCCAATAAGACCCCTGCAATTTGGCCTGAATACAGCGATCGCCCCAAATATTGATAAACTTGCTAACTTTGCTTTCCCTCCGTTGACGAGACTCCGAGCCTGACGTGTAGGTGGAATAAATGCAACTTGGCCATTCAGACTGAAGTCACATGTCAAAAGATCGGACGTGTATCAATTTTAGAGCACATATCCAAGTGGCCTGGGTTGCATTTGAAAAAAATTGGAACTGTGCCAGGTGACATGGGGCCAAAAAATCAGATTTGGGTTAGAGGTCTAGGTGGGACAGAATTTTCAGTCCTGCTCCCGCCCGCATATGCAATATTTTGTCCCGCTCCCTCCCGCAAGTCCCGTAGGATGGGAACCTTTGCTTTCTTAAAGGTTGTATAGAGGATTTTCCAAGGAACGATAAATCCAGCGACTGTTTGTCCTTTTTCAAATGTTGCGCATGCGTGAAACCACCCCCCCTCCCCTACAGCTCCTACGTAGAAACGCCTCCTCCCTCCTCCTCCTTACGCCAGAAACAGGTTTGTTTACAGCCGGTGCGCTGCACATGACTTGTAAACAACTAACTACAGTGTTGGTTAGGCAAGGCGGAGAAGTGAGGAGCGGGGGGAGCGGGTGTGCGGACATTTCGTTCGCGGACGAGAAGTGAGGAGCATGGGAGAAGAGCGGAGCAGGGAGAGAGAGAGGAGAGAGGAGAGGGGAGCGGTGCGCGGAGATTCCGTACCCGGAGAAGTGAGGAAGCAGTGGGGAAGAGCGGAACGGGCAGCGGGGACAGGAGCAGGAAAGGGGTTTGCAGAGAAGAGTGCGCGGAGAATCCTCCATACAACCTTTAAGCTCTATCAAACACGGAGAAGCGAAAGGAATTGGGCTGCATGGTTAAGTCCTGGCTAAATCCTGTTTTAGTCCTGTTTTGGACCTGTTTTTCTGTTTTTAGACCTGGTTTTGTCCTGGTTTAGTGGCACAGACGTACGGGAGGAGGGACTGTCCACACAGGGTACGGGTGGGGAGACAGTCTGGTGCTTAAAATGTTTTTATTAATGCCAAATAAAATATCCAGCACAAATTATGCATGATATGCTTACATTCACCATTTGTATATTTTACTTTACACAGTGAGCTTTCAAAGTGTGTCCTGTGCCGCACTGTTTTGCATCGGGTCCCGCAGGGCTCTAATTTGGGTCAGGCTGCAGTCTGAACGTACCCTAAATCAAGTGTGTGTAGTGTAATTAGGGATGGTTTATCGGTTATCTGCAATTATTGGTGATATCAGACAATTTCCACTGACATCGTATCGGTCCTGTATTGAAAACTTTGTCGATATTTGGCACCAAGTCCAGTCTTTTGTCTTCAGTGGTAGGTGCTTATGTAACGACCATTATATATCAAACTAACGCCGATGTTTCTTTTTGTTATAGTGCGCCGTGATGAAAAACCATAGGAAAAAACCTTTCTGAAAACACACACCAGCTCTCCTTACCTGACAGATGCAGAGAGTCCTTGAGCTTATCATTCTCCTCGAAATTACAAGAGGACCTGTCATCATCCGAGTACGAGCGGTTGGCGTCGCCCTGGCAACGGAGAGCACAATAGCGAATCAGCCGTGCATTATCACATTTCCCTAATTCTTTCAATGTTTTTTAAGGTGACGTCTTGCGCTTTCTATTCATCACTCGAACTAAAAAAAACGACGTCTGCCTTTGGAAAACGCACTTTATACACTGCACCTCTGCTGCCTTCAGCCATTAGGGAGTGTGACTGCAATGCTAATAGACCTATGTGTTTGTTGTGAGCGCAATTTGGCCCCGGAAAAGCTCAGAGCGAGTCCTGTGCTGGTGTACGGACTTTGAAACTTTTAGGAGACGTTTTGGTTTCTGATCTGTGATGTAACTACTCAGGGGAAATTGAAGTTTTTGATTTCTCAGAACAAAATGACCTTGTGAACGACGGATTAATTAAATACTCGTCTGAATGGAGCAAAATGTTGTTTAAAGTGGAGCTAAAAACTAAATCTTTTACAACTAAACAGTGTATATGGCGCTTAAATGGCATTGTATACTGCTCCAAACCTTTTGCAGTTCCAAGTACTATGTGACATCACCCAGGACTGCCCTCATTACAGTTAGGAGTTTCTGGTTACAAACACCTGGCTGCAGGGGCGGAGTTTAAAGTGTGGATACTTGTTGGATCAATCACACAGTTTCTTAAACCACCAGACCTCAACCCCTTCTCCTCTCCCCTCATTTTTCCTTTTAAGTCCTCCAGGCACTGTCCAGTTTAGCAGCTCTATTTGAAATGTTGAAATGTGGTTGTGCACTCGAATAAAACAACATCTAGGTAAGTTAAAATGACTTAATTTAAGAACATGTCACTTCATTTGAGTAAATTTATGTTGACAAGTAAAATTATCTACCAATGGGATAGATAATGTGTGTTTTTCTTAATTCAAGTAACATTTCATTTTGTTTTCTTATTTTAAGTGCAAAACTTTTTAAGTATAGCAAGATGTATTTTTATATTTTAAGTACAAAAATTCTTATTCCATTGACAGATCATTTTACTTGTCAATTGAAATTTACTCAAATCATTAAACTTTCTTAATTCATCTTAACTTGACTAGATTTAGTTTTTTGCACTGTGGGTGGAGTTTAAGTGTTTAGTCCCACTTTAAAAGTACCTGTGGACTCAAAAAATGCAAGGGTAGGAGGGGCAGAGTCTGGAGGTGTGAGTGTTACGACCACAGCCCCTGAAAAAGACTTGAAAAAACTTGAAAACAGCGGTCGTTCGGGGCTCAAGTTAGTGGTTTTAATGAAGCGAGGCCGAACAGGAGCGCCCCCTGCTGTTCACCGGACCAGATGTGCTTTATCCAACCAAAATCTTTCCACGATACCAGAAAACAGCATAATATAATATAATCATGTAATACAAATAATAATAATCATGTACCAATAAAATGAAACTACTTCACTTTTTAAAAATAAATCCTATTATGAATACTATATTTAACAGTAGTCGTATTGTATCATAAATGTAAATAATTCTTTAATTGTTTTGTTTTACAACCATAACATAAGCAACAGCGTGATTGGTCTAACAGGTATCCGCACTGAAACTTCGCCCCCGCAACCAGGTGTCTGTGATCAGAAACACCATGGCTTTAATCAGGGCAGTCTTGAGTGATGTCACCAACTACTGGGAATTGCAGAGGCCACCGGACGCACCACAAACTTTACATTTAGGTTTAGGCTTTTGACCAGAAAGCTACAAATTTTACCACAGTAAATTGCACTTTATTTGCCAAAAATGAATAAGAACAGTAGAAAATGCTATTAAAACACCATATACACAGTTCAATAGTGATAAAAAAAGTGCATTTAGTTCCAGTTTGAACCGGTCATTAGAATAGACATTGATAGTATTATTATTTTTTTCGCTTTACCTCAGCTTGAAATCCCTCGACCAAGATGGCGACCAGAAGATTGAAGAGCACGTAGTTCCCAAAGGTCATGAGGGCGACGAAGTACAGAGCGGCGCAGGGAGACGTGGAGGCCATGCCGTTGTACAGGACCATGTTCCAGTCCTCCTGAGTCAGAATCTACGCAACAAAAAGTATTTAAGAAGAGACACAATGCACAACACACACAATGCATCACAAAATATCACAATTTTGGCTGATGCAACAATCGGTATCGTGAGAAAATAAATATACTCTAACAAGTTATCTATGTACTGTTTTTGGAAAGTGAAATGGGCAAAAGGAAGTTTGTATTCATGGTTTTCCTTATTGATCCTCTGCAGCTGATTTCCTCAACATTCATGGGGAAGTGAAGGTATCTGAAAGCACTGCTCTGTCTGAAGCTCTTTTACTCAAATTAGACTTTAATCTGAGCTTTGTTTTAACACAATTTAACCAACAGTTTTTAAGTTAGTCTCTCTGTAAGACAATCTTAAAACTTTTTGGTTGCATTTGCTGACACGTACATTGCGTCTCCATGGTAAACACTGAACATTCCGCCACAGAGATACATGTAGAACTCCCCCGGCGTGATGCCACTGCAAAGCATCAATTAAGTCCTGCATTAGGTTTAGGCTGGTCTTGATTAGTCTAGTAAGTTTTTATTTTGACCCAGTTTGACTAGTAAATGAAAGACTAGAAAATGAACATACTGTGTCAAAAAGCATATCAAAAAACATCGTAGTAATATCGATATCGCAATACTAAACAAATATCGCATCTTTTTCTCGTACCATACATTACCATAACACAGTGATTAACTCCTCTTCAGTTGGTGTTCAACTAATTAGGAGTCAGTAATTAGTGGTGTAGTCTTAATATAGACCTGGTTTAGCCAATTTTAGACCTGGAATAGTCCTGGTATAGATCTGGTGTTACTCAGGAGGCTAAATATTTTCTGAAAGGTTTGAAAACTAATATCATAACATAAAACAAAGCACACTGCAAAAATACTATCTATACAAATCCATTAAAAACAATAATAACCAAGAATGGAATAATAGTAATAGTAATAAAATTTAGATTTGATTATTTTGTGTGTGTATTAATGGTGGAACTTTTGGCTCTTTTAGGGGATCCAAATCTTTTTGATCTGTTCATTTCACGGAGCCATTCAAAAAGGCTGGCTCTGTTACAATTAATTTAAATGACAAAAGCTTTTAAAAAATTAGACTCGGCTCCAAGAGTTCACGTTAAGGAACCACCATCACTAGTGTGTATCAGAGTCCTGCACCGGGTCGTGTACCCGTAAATATTTGCTGAAACGGGCGGGTTTTAACATTCTGGAATTTTACAGCTGGGTGTGCAGGTGGGTAGTGATAACACACGGGCGGGTCAGGTGAATCAAATGAACGGCGAACGGGAGAAAAATACCTCACACGCGTCCCGGACATCCGTGCTTTTCCAGGAACTATGGACCAGGTTGACAGAGACTTTAGTGTATTTATTACATAAACATAGTTCTGGTTTAGACCTGGGTAAGTCCTGGTTAAGTCCTGGTTCAGATCTGGTTCAGATCTGGTTAAGTCCTGGTTTAGATCTGGTTTATTCCTGGTGTAGTCCTGGTGTAGTCCTGGTCCAGTCCTGGTATAGTCCTGGTAATCGGCTCGGCAGTTGCGGCGTGTATATATTTATGCTAATGGAACTGATTCAGTCCTGGTTCTGTCCTGAGTCCATCCTGGTTCTGTCCTGGTTCAGTCCTTTTTCAGTCCTGGTGTAGTCCTGGTCCAGTCCTGGTGTAGTCCTGGTCCAGTCCTGGTGTAGTCCTGGTCCAGTCCTGGTGTAGTCCTGGTCCAGTCCTGGTGTAGTCCTGGCGATCGGCAGTGTGTATATATTTATAATCCGCTAATGACATGGCGTAGGTTCAGTCTTGGTTCAGTCCTGGTTTAGTCCTGGACTATTGGACTAATGGGTTGACCCTGATTTATCACGGGCACGGGCGGGTAACGGGTGAAATATTAACGGGTCCGGGCGGTTGTAGATTTAACTTTGATATAATCACGGGTTAACGGGCGGGTGCACTTCTCCAAAAATGGACCGGTGCAGGACTCTGGCGTGTATGAGCACTTCTGTAAACCAAGCATCATTATATTAAATTCATTATTATTAATAAAGAAGATCTACCTTGTAAGAGTGAGGTTCTGTGTCATTTTAGCCACTTTATTCATAGACATGCTTCACTTTTGTGGCATAATTACAATAACATTTTTGTCGCCATTAATGCATTTTTTCCATTCACTCCTCGCACTCTGATCTGAGCCAACAGCCACTCCAGCCACCAACAAGCTCTCTACACCATATTAGCATACCAGCATAATAGACCATGAAGTATATGGCCACTCAAAGCCACTACAAGTGTCAATTACAATTTAGATCTAGCTTTAAAAGTTTTAATAAAATAAAATAAAAGGTTATTCCGATACCAATGGTGGTGGTGGTAAAAAGGTGGTGGTAAAAGCTCAGATACTGCACATTTTTCAGGAATCAGTATCAGTGAGTACTTAGACCAAATCACGGATCCGATACCACTCTGTATTTTCCTGAACGAGGACCTGCTGATGAGAGCTTTTTTTTTGGTGACGTCTGTGACCTATTCCAGCGTTTGCCAAACTTTTTTTTTTTTCTGGGGACCCACATTTTAAAAGTCACAAACCTTCACGGCCCAAGTCAACAGACATTATTCATAAATTCGTAAAATAAAGGTGGATTTGACCATTATTGAATATTCATGAGGATATTTTATTGTTGACTGAGTGATCGTGTCTCTGAACAATTAGTATTACTCAAGTTTCAAACAAGGAAAAACAGTAACTGAACCAGGAATTATACAAAACATGTCTTTCTATTGAAATAGGCGGGCCTGTCTGTGTTTTTGTAGCATGTTCCAGTCCAGGGTAAAGGAGAAGATCATAACACACATATCGGGCACATATTTGGCAACCCCCCTCATCTCCTGTGACCCAGTCTTTGGGAAACAATGGCCTATGCTCCCGCTCAGAACAGGTTAAATACAGACTGTGGAGGCTCTGTGGAGACTTAAAACACCCAATAACACACAATAATAACAGAAAAGACATTGTGTTACCTCTGATACCTTCATTTACCCTTTGGTGGGGGTGTTGAACTTGGTAAAACAGGGTTTCCCCAGGTTTGACGACCCCAAATTTAAGACTTTTTAAAGACCTTTTTAAGACCACTTAAATTTAAATTAAGACCAATATCGCTCCCAATATACGGGCGAAAAACACCAGATCCAGTTCTAATAATGACCAACCAAATACTATATCTAGAACCTAAGAGACACTGTGGATTAAACCTACACTTCCCCATGATCCATCCAACGTCTTCTTCCACCGTACTGATCGTTTACTCATTGCCGCCGCATACTCCAAATTAGACGTTCATTCAAGTTACATGATTTCACATTGATGTTGTTGGTTTTATTTTCCTCCCTCCGTTTATAACATTGAACTGCAACTCGGTTGAGTATACAAAAAAATAGGCTAATTAAATAAAAAATAAGACTTGGACAACATAATGTAAGACTTTTTAAGGCCTTAATTTAGGAACATGAAATTTAAGACCTTTTTAAGACTTTTAAGACCCCGTGACTACCCTGTAAAATAATTGAAGCTACAGAAAGTGCAGCCTGACAACAGCCACTAACTTTGTGACTTTGTTTACTCTGCATAATTAGGATGCGAGGATGAGCATCTCAAAGTTTAATAAATTTTTTGCAGATTATCATAAAAAATTGCCTTTTAGAAGATTTAGTAGCGGCAAAATAGACTCTATTCACGCTTACGTCACAAACCAGGAAGATGTCTGGAAAGATGCGATGACTTCCGGTGAAGTTCCCGACACTGGGCTCACCGACTGACTGTGATAAAACCCACTGAAGTAAATATGTATGTGTTGTTTGGGATCATCTTGAATTTGGCACCTCATCTCGTCTAATCGCATGTACCCAGTGCACTCAGAGTTGTGGGTCAATGGGGAAATGATGAAAACTGAGTTGTGGTTGTAATTGTTGATGAGCCAAACATAATGGAACGCTACAATGACAGTGACATGAAGAAAACTGGGCCTGTTTCTCATTTTTCCTCAATTTTATCTACAAACTACTACTGGAAACGACCGGAAGGTGTCATCGCATGTTTCCAAACGTCTTCCTGGTTTGTGACGTAAGCATGAATAGGTATCGGCGAATACACCAAGGCCAAATATCAACATTGGATCCCCAAAAAATAGGTACTGGAACAATACTAGTGGTGATCCTAGACACTGTTTGCAGTAGTTGTCATCGTTCACAGTTGCAGTACCTGAAAGACAGTGACGATGGCCCAGAGCAGCGAGTCGAAGTTCTTGCGGTCAGGAACGGTGTCTCCAGCCTCCGTCTTCAGACTGAACTTACAGCCGAAGATGTGCATCCCCAGAATACTAAAACACAAACACAAGAGAAATGACACAATATTACATAAGGGTTGTCAAAAGTATCAATACCGAGATAGGAATCAATACTAAAATGAATATCGAAACCAGCAGGACCAAAACAGAGAATTCCATGGTAGAATTTGCCTTCATGATGTATTCAAGTTTGTGCTTTTATTTCTGTAGTTACTGGTTCAGCTCAATGGAGGGACACGAACTACCCAAACATAGGCTACAACTTGTTAAAAAATGAAACATTAAATTGAAATCTGTAGAAAAATGTAAGCTCCATATTAGAATCATACTTTAAAGGGCCCATATTACGCCATTTTCTGATCTGTTCTAATGTAGTTTCCTCATCACAAACAGACCTGGAGTTGTGTTTTGTCTCTTTCACATGTTGAAAACTGTTGGGCAAGTTACTTCAAAACTGCAGTGTGTTATTTATAACTTGTTACTGTCATTTCAAAGTAATTAGTTACATTACAATATTACTGTATTTAAAATGTAAGGCGTTACATGACTATTGCAGCACTTTTAAGTTACTCTCACTCTAACTGTGAAGATGCTGAACTTTTGCACCGTATATGGACTAAACCAGGACTGAACCAGGCCTGAACCAAGGACTGAACCAAAACTGAACCAGGGTTAAACCAGGTCTAAACCTAGGACTGAACCAAGGACTAAACCAGGACTAAACCAGACTAAACCAGAGCTGAACCAGGACTGAACCAGCTCTGCGCCAGTCCTTTAGCTTGCGGTCACGCGACTGTCTATGCGGCGCATCTCCGGCGTTTCACTGCTGCTGATATCGTGATGATTTTAGCAAATTTGTATGAAGAAAAACAAAAAACCCACCACTTCTATCCAGGTTAAAAATGCACAGTAACGTGCATTATTGACATTTGTACAGAGTAAATTATTACTATTTTTTTCCCTGTAATGCCGAACATTACTGCATTACAGCAAAAAGCAACACATTACAGTCATTTATTACTTTTTTAACTCCCAACACTGATGTTGAAAGCGTAAACCCTGAGTTCTTCTTTCAAACAGAAAACACTCTGTTCCACCTTCTGATGTCATATGGCGATACAAGAAGTGCTCCACCCTGTTTTTAAACTCATACGCCTTCACTAGAATGATTTGGATGATTTCAGCTCTGAAATTACAAATCTCTGCTGAAGAAAAATTATAAAATGTAGCTGTTAACTTGACACCTCCAGATTTTGATGGTTGGTAATAATAACATGGTGAAACAAGTGTATAATTAAATAAAAGTGTTCTTCACTCGGCCCATTCGTGACATGTGAGCCAGTAGTCACATTTTCTTTGTGCTTTGGTCATTTTTAAGTATCCTTTTCTGTATTTTGCTTAGATAAATGGCAATTTATTCCTCTTTTTGCTGTTGACAGGTATCAATTTTGTCAAAAAACATGGACATCTGTAATATTTCTTGAGACAAATCACTGGTTTGGGATAAATCTGCTGGGACAGGGGACACACGGCTCAAAACTGGGACTGTCCCAGGTAAATAGGGACGTCTGGTCACCTGAGCTTTGGAAATGTAGACAGACTGATAATAAAGTGTTACTCAAACGTGTGAAAGAAACAAACACAACTCCAGGTCTGTTTTTGAGAACATAACAACATTATAACATGGCTTAAAGCTCACAAGAGTCAATTTTGAGTAACATATGACCTTTAAATTGTGTTATCCCCAAAAACAGGAGATCGGACAAGCACTTTAAAAATCCAGTGAAATTAATAAGCAAGTTCAATATATTATTTCCTCCAATTGTTAGCATTAGCTTCACAAAAATGCGAACTAAACATAAGCACTAGTAGTTGTTGTTGTTAGCTTGTTGCGTAGCTTTGTACAATGCTAAAGCTAAGGTGTACCGAATTTAAACAGTTTTGTACACAACAAACTAACAACAAGTTGTATGAAATTAAAATTGTTGTTCATTTTTTTGTTACCTTTGTACACTGCTAAAGCTAAGTCGTACACAATTTAAGGTGACCAGATTTTCAAAATAAAAAACTGGGACATCCCCGTTTTTTTTGGTGACTGGTAATATATAAAAGTGTAAAACGATTGCGTAATTAAGGGAAATTATTATGCAGATATTGTTCATGACTTGCTAAAGTTAAGCTGTAAAGAATTAAAATAGTTGTTAGCTTGTTGTGTAGCTTAATGAGATGGTAAAGCTAAGGTGTACCAAATTTAAACAGCTTTGTACACAAAAAGTTAACAACAAATTAAGTTGTACCAAATTAAATTGTTGTTCATATTGTTGTTAAAATTTGTACACTGCTAAAGCTAAGGTGTAACAAATTCAAATTCTTGTTAATTTTGTTGTTAGCATTGTACAATGCTAAAGCTAAGGTGTACACAATTTTGGGTGACCAGATTTACAAAATAAAAAACTGGGACATCCCCATTTTTTATTTATTTATTTTTTGGTGGTTGGTAATAATAAAATACTGAAACAAGTGCGTAATTAAGAAAAATTATGAAGCAGAGACCACTCGTGACTAACATGTGAGTCAATATAGTCACATTTTCTTTGTGTTTTGGTCGTTTTTAAGCAGCTTTTCTGTATTTTATGTAAACAAATGACAATTAGTGCCTGTTTTTACTGTTAGCAGGGATCAGATTTGTCAAAAATAGAGACACCTGGGACATTTCTTGGATAAAACCAGGACAAATCAGTGGTTTGGGATAAATATACTGGGACTGGGGACACAGGGCTCAAAATTGGAACCGTCCCGGGTAAATAGAGACATCTGGTCACCCTAACCAAATTAAAATTGTTGAGCTACGCTAAAGCTAAGGTGCAACAAATAAAAATAGTTCTTCATTTTGTTGTGTAGCTTTGTACGATACTAAAGCAAGGGTGTACTAAATTTAAATCTGTAAAAGGCATAATTTGGAACTCTTAAACCTGCTTTGTGGTACCTTCCTTCCAGTACGTTGGCTTTGGCCTACTTTCGAGTTCACCGTTCAAGCCAACTTGCGTCCGAGCAGATGGCGGTGCATCCTGTGTGCAGCTAAAGCTAGCCCGGGTGCACCGCATTTGGCATTCTGACGACGTTCGTGCCGCTCGGCTTAGGCTAAACTTTGAATCCGCTCCATAATTGCCTGGAAGAACGGGAACGTGAGCGGAATGTGCGCACGGTGAGTTTTTACAGTGATGTATAAAACAGAGGCGTGTTAAAGGGTCAGCGTGTGGCCATCGCTTTTTCTATTTTACAAAAGGTGCAACAATCACAGCTGAACCTGGGTTGTGTCTTAACCTGCATATCGAGGGAGAATGATGAGAAATTACAGCGGTTGCCATAACAATTAACAATTTAGTGCAGGAATAATGAAGAACTCAAAATGTTGTGTGTAAAAGGAGGCTGAAACTGCGACTTAGAGGACACATCCAAGTTTTTCCTCATTCTCAGTAAATGCTGCTTGTATCAGAAAGGGCATCTGCAGAAGTGTGGTGGCCGTGATACGCAGGGGTACATCGTCCAATAACTTCTTCTCATCTTTTTGTATAGAAAAATAACAAATATAAAGTAGCCTACAACTGAAATGTCAAATTGGAGCTGGCAATGGTGAAAACAACCTGCAAAGGCTTATGATATCTGCGGTACTGTCCTATAGTGACCTGCGACATAGGCTGATCTCAGGACTGAACCGGGAGGACTAAACCCGGACTAAACCAGGTCTAAACCAGAAATGAACCAGGACAGGCCCTGAGCTGCGTCCACGTAGACCGTCGGGTGACCACAAGAGAAAGGACCAGCGCAGAGGTCCGCACCACACGGGGCTAAGTGCAGCAGTTGTCTGATCTCGCTTTGTGGACACCCTGATCTGTGGGCTCGGGGTTTCTCTCTCTCGCTCTCAAGTCCAAGATTAGTCCTGGTTTAGACCTGGTTTAGTCCTGGTTTAGAGACCTGGTTTAGTCCTGGTTCAGTCCTGGTTTAGATCTGGTTTAGTCTGGTTTAGTCCTGGTTTAGTCTGGTTTAGAGTCCTGGTTCAGTCCTGGTTTAGTTTATCTGGTTTAGTCCTGGTTTAGGTCCTTAGGTCTGGTTTAGTCCTGGTTCAGTCCTGGTTTAGAGTCCTGGGTCCTGGTTTAGTTTAGTCCTGGTGGTTTAGTCCTGGTTTAGGTCTGGTTTAGTCCTGGTTTAGTCCTGGTTTAGTCCTGGTTTAGTCCTGGTTTAGTCCTGGTTTAGTCCTGGTTTAGTCCTGGTTTAGGTCTGGTTTAGTCCTGGTTTAGGTCTGGTTTAGTCCTGGTTTAGTCCTGGTTTAGTCCTGGTTTATCCTGGTTTAGTCCTGGTTTAGTCCTGGTTTAGTTTAGTCCTGGTTTAGTCTGGTTTAGTCCTGGTTTAGTCCTCGTTTAGGTCTGGTTTAGTCCTGGTTCAGTCCTGGTTTAGATCTGGTTTAGTCCTGGGTTTAGTCCTGGTTTAGTCCTGGTTTAGTCCTGGTTTAGATCTGGTTTAATCCTGGTTCAGTCCTGGGAACACATGCTGTAGCCTATGATTTATGTTCTGTAGGTGATTATAAATGCCATTAATGATTATTTCTATTTGTGGATATTATAGTTGTGATGAGCAGTGTAAAATAATAGTCTTCTGTATCTGTTGATTATTCACATATGTAATTTGTCATTTACTGTATGATAATGCAGTTTATTATTTATGGAAACATCTGAAATAAACTTATCATCATCGAAATATGTCATGTACATATCACTATTTTTGTTATTGTTTTTGAATCTTGTTGTACCTGGCTCAAACAAATAAATAAATGAAAATATTACACTCTAAAAATGATATCTGCATCAGTTTGAGGGTCACGAATCACGTAACCCCACTTAAAAAATTCCCACTGCACTACTGGGCTTGTGGCATAAAAATCTGCCAAACCAACATGAGTGGTGAAACAGAAAGTGCTCCCCTGTGTTTTTAAACTGTATACACCTTCACTAGAATCATTTCAATAATTTGCAGGC